TCTGTCTGTCTGTCTGTCTGTCTGTCTGTCTGTCTGTCTGTCTGTCTGTCTGTCTGTCTGTCTGTCTGTCTGTCTGTCTGTCTGTCTGTCTGTCTATTTCTGGTATCAGGGTTGTAAGTTTCGTATATTTTAATCTTTCTATAGAAATTAAGGCGTGGTACTACCTGGCGGTGGTGCTTGGAAAGGGGCACTGCTACGTACATACTGTGTGCTGCATCGATATCGGGCATTGTACGGCAAGTATGTAGCCCATCCTCACACAACAGACACCCTGCGCCATACGAGCTTGATCAAGTCCTATACAAAGGAACTATCCAAGGAACAGAGTAGGAAGCGCGCGCTGAGCAGGGGGGGTTTGGGGGGGACTGAGGCAGTCATGCTGAACAGCTGTGTGGATCAGGGAGATTGGAAAACTGCCAATACACCGCCCGCGTCTTGCCTATTTTTGGGGAGATGTTGTGCGGTTGTTTTTGTGGGGGGTTTGTAGCGGGTGGCTGTGTTTTTGTTTTGGGAAGGTTATGCTGCCCTGGGAGTTCGGACTTGACATTTTGGTAGACTAGATGCTGTGATGCTAGAAATGACGTCTGCGGGTATTTTGTGTTTGACCTGTGCTCGCTCCTCTGATGCTCTTCTCTTCCTCTAATTCTCTTCTCGAACACTTCCATTAGGATGAATTACGTGGTATGGAATCAGCTGAAAGTCTTCATTACATATAGTCTTGTGGTCCTTCGTATGATTAGATAAGAAGCCCACCGTTGTCATGTTTCTGAGCTCTTCATCTGACTAGAGCCTGCATATAGATGCACGTAGCTGCGCCACCACCCGCGAAATACTGACACAGGCGTGCTTCTAGAAGAACGAATCTGTCTACCCTGACTGATACTGTCCTTCCTATATTTGATCAATACCCCTGCGTGAATGACCATACTGTGTCATGAGCGTAGACTGCCATCAGACTTGACATGGCTTGGCGCCTCGACGACAGCTAGACAGTGAGACAAGCAAGGTTTGAGGGCAGTGTCAGGACGTCATCCCGGCGAGAGATCATGAGTTGAGAAGATGAGGGATACTACTGTACACGTTCTCAGGCCTGATGGTGACATGTGGACAGCCATGCTGAGCTCAACATATTCAACCAGATGCCTTGCACGCGTCGCGATGATAAGAACATGGCAACTTGAGCACGAGCATGTGAAAGTGGTGAGTCGCTACCGACCATGGGGTCAACGGCCAGTCGAAAGGGTAGCACAGCTCATCTATATCGGCAAATGAAGTCGAGAACCGAGGGTCGGCGTCGCAACCCTCGAGGGTCAAGACTCGGATGACCCTTTGAATAACAACGTGTACGATACGAGATGTATCGATAAGGCTTCACGGTACGTCACCATAGGGCTCATTCGCGTTTCCCCAGCATGGTTCCTGAGTCCCCAATGGGGCAAGTGAGATTGTTCGATATGGGATCTGTACGTTTTACGCCCCCCCTTTGCTCTCTCCCCAGTACAGTCATCAGTGGAGGCTACGTGGACACCTCGATTCGCTAGATGGTATTGCGTGCTGCTGATCTGTTGAAACGTGCTGGGATGGGCGATGTCGAACAGTAATTTCCGCTTCTGCTTTTCACTTCATGCGTTTTCGCTCGAAAGGAGTTGATGATTATCAGCAGTCATGGCCCTGGCCGGTCCATGACTGCACGGACACATATCCCGTTCAGGTCGAGCGAGCTCGTGTACGGCAAGAAGCGGAATATTGGATAGGGCAGGATGCCCCATGCAAGAAAAACGCGTCCTCGTCGCGGTTTGACCAAGAGTTCTGTACTCTTCTGCATGATTGCCTGGTTGCCTCGCTCCTCCTGGTTGGACGTTTGCCTGGCTCGTCAATTAAGTAGGGTGTACGCGACGAGGAATCAGCCATGTCTTTGATGGTCGATGAAGGGTTAAGATTCGAATCTTCGAACGGTCAATGCATGTATGTATGTACAGATGCGGGCGCCGGGGGCAAGTCACAAGCGATGCACAAGCGATCATCGACGCGCAGATCTCGCTGGTGGTTCAGAGATGCAAAAGCGATGAGCCCTGTACCCAATTGAGAATGTTCCCGAAGGAGGACACTGACGGCATGGTGCGGGCGGGCGGATGGATTTAGTGTATAGAGGGATTGACGGGTAAAGGGATATGTTCCAGGGGGAAGACGCTGCTGTCTCGGACTCTCGGCATGGTGATTTTTAGCGTGTGGCGTCTGTTATGAGGCTGAACCAGCAGCAGCTGCAGGTCCGGGCTAGCGAGTTTCAGGTTGGAGTGCTCCGACGACAGCGATACCTCCAACGTCGCGCGTTCTCTTACACTTCATCGCCTTCACCAGCACAACTGCATTCCCGCCGCCGTCGCCTCTTTTCCCATCGTGAAACTCGACGCCTTTTCTGAGGGTTTCGTATAGCCGCTTTGCCTCAGTGTTTGTGACTCCATTGCTGCCATCGTGCATTCGCCATTGCAGCAAGCGCCCATCGCCTACATCTCACATGCCAATCCTCTCTACAGGCTACAGCTTGATCAGAGCAGCCATGCCATGCCACCGCTGTCGGTATATGACTGGAGCAATACAGAGACAGGAATGCTGGACCTTGAAATGCGTCTTCCCGGTGGTCAGCCTGGTGCCTTGAGCTGCCCCTGTATCGCCGACCTTGTTGTGGCTCTAGAACGTCTGGGGGAGAGAGGGTCTGTGGGAAGTGTATGAGTTTCTGGCGTTCTGAGAGTCTCACTCACAACTCCTCTCTTCCCCCCCTCTCACATGCCCTGTATACACATCCCGATTAGGTCACATGCCTGTGTGGGATTGCCCTAATCAGTTGCTGTTCCATCTCGCTGCAGCCAAGGCGGCATCCGATGCTCCATCAGACCTCTACCGAATCTTCTTGCTCTCATCGTCAACATAGTCGGTGCGCCTTGCTCACATCCCTCTGTCTAACAACGCCTGCCCACTCTTCCCGCTCGGGGCATGATTCTGTACTCCGCCTCCTCCATATAGTAGTTAGTCCCCGCTACCTTGTCATTCCTACTACTTTGGCCACTTCACTCATTTCAGCCGACTCCTATCTTTTCTTTTTTATCACGTTCTTTAGAGCGGGGCTCTGTGTCTTCCGTACTGGCTACGAGAAGTTATATTCTTCTCACCATTCATTTCGGTTCTTTTGTGAGCGACACTCGTTGTTGTCCAACGCCTTTTTACAGTATAGAACTCGTCTGATAAGTGTTCTTGGCTCTAAGCGGTGATATACACTGCTTTGATATCGCCGTCCTAGCTTGACCTGTTTATCGTACGGTTGCTACTTTCCTCTTCTTCCTTGATGTCAATGTCTCCGCTGTTTGACAATCCATTCTAACAGGAGATAGCTCTCGTTTATTTTTACCAGACCCCAAGCGCATGACTGCCTTGGATCGCACGGTGTCCAATATAGTTTAGATGGAGTTCGGGATGACGCAACAGTCAGTCATATGCTCGAATTCTGCATATAGTAGTACTCATTTGCGAACAGCTATCCGGTTACTCAGCATGGTCTGTTCGGTGGGGTCCCACCGTATAGGAGACGTTCCAGTCAGATCAGATGTTCTAGCGACGCATTATCTAGTCAACATAATGGCTTTATGGCCCAACAACAACAGCAACAGTACCCCGAGTACTTTCATGACGATCACCAAACAAACACGATCCACTCCGCGACACAATGTCCTGGCTCAGATTCCACTACGACGGACGACACTGGAGACCTGAGCGAGAACAAGAATCATGACAGAGTAGACGCTGTTGTTAAACAAGAGCAGGTCTGTGTGAGGTCATCCAAGGATCAGACGTCATCGGAAGCTGTAACTTCTTCCGAGTTGGTCGAATGCACTACCGGACCCAGTCTGGATATCCAGAATTCCTTCATCGACGCGAGCTTGTTCAATCCTCCTGTTACCAGCATACATGGGATGAAGTCAGACTTTGATAGCAGCCAAATGCCAGCGCCGTGGGGCTACAAAGGATCAGGAGACATACCATTTCCTCCACTCGATGGCGACGTGTCAGAGCTTGGTCAGAACTGGTTAGGCACAGATGATGATGGAACTGTGATAGATCTGAGAAGGTTCTTGGGAGCCGATCTTGACGGTGACCTATCAACCTTCAACGTGAACTCGAGACGGATATCCGAGTCCTCTTTCTCAATGTCGAGCTGTGGAGCTCTGGCCGAAGTGCTCAACTTTGAAGATCTCTCCGGCTCAGAGACTCAAAGCCGCATAACAGAAACTGATGGATGGGGCGGGGTTCATCAAAGTGCAATGCTTGTGTCTCCGGCATCCTCGTCAAGGAGCGATGAGGCTTTCCGTCCCGGACATAGATCGAAAGCATCTCCGTCTTCGCGTATGACTATGCGCACGTCACCCTATACGATCGATAAGAACCGTCTCAAGCGATGGTCTACAACTGCAGCATCTCATGCATCAACCTCCGCACCTTCCTCTATCCCATCGCGACATTTTAGCCATATACAGGGTCGATTATCCCCTTACAGCCGGCCCCTGACCAGCCAGCCTTCGCAAAACGGACAGGGTGTGCAGAGCGGACAGGTCAAGGAAAGCGAAGAGATACCGCAAGCTACGCAAGTTTCTTTAGCCCAGTATGCGTCATATCCTGTAGGGGCTTATGCCGGAACACCACAGCGAATGATCTACAGTCCAGCCCATAATCAGTACCAACAACAATGTCAACAGCAGTACCAACACGCGCTGTCTCAATCACACATTCACGCCCAAATTAATTCTCACTCCATAGTCCCAAGTTGCTCGAATCCTTACCAGCCAAATCATGTACAATCAAGTATGCCGAGTTACTACGGACCAGACAGTCACCAGTATCCACTGGAGATTCCCCGGCCTGTGCCATCCCAAAATCTATTCAGGCTCTTACAGAGTAATGCAGACCGGCATGGAGGCTACGCAGCGCATTTCGCTGACCTATCCGATCCACCTGACCTATATTCCTCACTCCAGGAAGAGCCATCCAATCCACCCGAGTCGGACATGCACCCGTCCGACCCAGACCTGATCCCCCATGAACAAGATCTGCGCTTCAGTGGCGACCTTTACACCCCGCGGTGGGTACGTGGCCACGGCAACAAACGTGAGGGCTGGTGCGGTCTCTGCAAACCCGGACGATGGCTAGTCCTCAAGAACAGCGCGTTCTGGTACGACAAGTCCTTTACGCACGGCGTAAGCGCCGCTACCGGGGTCGCGTTCCAGAAACCCCAGGAGACACGCCGCACGGAGGGGAATCTGGATGTCTGGGAGGGCCTTTGCGGGAGCTGCGGCGATTGGATCGCGTTGGTGAGCAGCAAGAAGAAAGGCACGACGTGGTTTCGGCATGCGTACAAGGTAAGCTTAGCAGGATGGCTCATGCATTCATGCCCGGGTGGGGTTTTGACAGATCCTAATTTGGTGTTTCTTGCAGTGTCACACGCATCCCAAGGTCAAAGACGGACCGAAACGCCGTCGCGAAACGTCCCATCAGATTCGTGCTCGAACGGTATCGTCGGCATCTACAACGACGTCCACCTCGTATCCTACCAGCAAGGAGACATCGTTCGACCCGTCACCTCCACTGCTACAACGCTCGTCGTCCGAAGCTACGTTGACGAGAATGTCAGCTCCAGGCTCTGACGTCTATTGTATACCCGCTTCGTCGGCAGATGCAGAACATGTTGGGCTCAGGGGTGTGAGATCGACGCTTGCCGAAATTATCTAGACGATAGCTGTTGGAGCGTTCTGCCATGTCTAGCTGTACTATCGGGCCTGGCATCAGTCATTCTTTTTTATCATTCTCCGAGCGCCTTGTGCTTGCTCCTCATCTACCTTTTGGTGCTTAGCCAAGGGATCAGACGTTTCGCGTTACTATTCGATGCGTAGTGCCCGCCATTCCACGAAAGCGGTGACTTAGAAATAGTCATTCGAGTCCTTCCATAAACCATTTCCTTTCGCCTCGGCTTGACTTGTATCATCCGGCTTTTCCTTCGCTATGTATGGGGGGGCATGGTTCACACGACTTGACGAAAGCATCCGAATACTGATGCATGATAGTTAATTGGCTCGCACGTGTAAATACGTCGTCGATCATTATCTTTATTTTCGGGACTAATGTCGCGGTAGGAGGAGGATGTGTTTGGTTTCTCAATCGCTTTGGAACATTTCTTTTTGGGATGGATCCTTCTCTTTACATACCTTACAAAGTGGGATATGGGGGAACATGCTTCAGGGCAGAGAGCATAATATTCTAGAGCTATACTGAGACGTTTTCTGAGCGAGATCTGAGTGTCAGGCTCGTCGCTTGTCGTTTTATAGACCGTTGTATTAGCCTTTATACATATTGAAAGTCTACTTTAATCCCATCCATACTCTGTATTGTAGTGGTTTATCCTGGGTTCAATTCTAAGAGTTGCCTTGGATATGTGATGAAACCGTGTCTCGCCTCTAGAATAGAATGCCTTTTCGTCGCTACTTTCCGGGACACAATCAAGGCCAGTTGGCATGAATTCGCCAAGGCCTTGGGGGTATAGTCAAAGTGGTGCAGCGCTGCGCATGATGCTGTTTCGCCGCGTGGCAGCCTGGCCTAGACCCAATACCTAGTGTAGATCATGTCTTGCCCTTGGTCATGGTCGAACGAAGTGAATGGCCTGTTGCCAACGTGTGGCACGGTCGTTGAGATAGGGCTGAACCTCGCCCGAGCTAGCCTTTCCCCCTTTGGTTAAGTTAGCTCCGACAGCCCCGATATTGTCTTGTTTACCCTTGCGACGGCACATCACAACTCACTGTCAACACGAGATATTCTTTACTTCACCATTCACCCTTTTGGATACCGCAGCATAGATAGCATAGATCATGCTCTAGTATGTTTAATTGGTATTTTGAATATATTTTGCCATGGTTAAGCATGTCACCGACGACCAGATCCCTTGGACCACTGCGCGCTGCAACAGACTACTGCGACCGATCTCTTCACGCTTAACTGCGCTGAGGAAAGCAGCAGACAACGCGAGAACGCAGAAGCCAGAGCCGAGAAAGGAACAGGCGAAAGAGGAGGAATGCCAGGCAGCGCTTACATCACCGCGTCGAAGGACTTGGAAGAAGACTAGTGACACGAAGGACGATCTAGAATGGGTACCGGAAGCGAAACCTCTCAGGACATACAAGGCCACCTCTCGACCTGGGAGACATGTTCGAACTCCAATGCGGCCAAAGTCGAAGCCTCCCATGGGACCACCCGGCGAGATTAACGTCCCTACACCCTTCATTGCCCGGACGCTGCAGCACATCGAGGAGAGTCCTCGCTACATATCTCCCCAGCAGGCCCCGCAGCGCGGCCGTAAGCCTCTCCACGTACAACAAAAAGAGCACCTAAAGGCAGTCAGGAAACAGACGAGTACCGACACATTTGCTCATATCAGCGGTGCATATGCTGGGCTGGAGAAAGTGCTGGAGGCAACCGCGGCGTACGGCCCGGAGCGCGAACGGAAAGGCACGAGATCTCTCAGGGCGACATGCTTGCGTCAAGTTCCAGCTTACATCGAGCTTGAAGAGTACTGGCAGAAAGAGGAGGACGATGATGACACCGAGGACGCGGCAGTGAGAATATACGATGATATAGAGCATTTGGCCCTTCGCGACGAGAATGGACGCCAAGCGCTGGGTCATGTTGTGCGCGCTTCTGCAATCAAAATGGTGACGGAAGCGTTACGGGATACTGTTCTACCTCAGACTCTCTTGCTTGAGCTTGCTAAACTGTGCACCAAGACTAAAGCATGGGATGCCGGCGAGGAGATGCTTTCAGTTGCACTGATGACTCTGCAGCCGAACATGCAAGTGCCTAATCATCCTCAAGACGACATTTTTGAGGAACCGGATCATGCGATCTTGTCGTTATTCCGAAACTATGTGGAGTCATCAGGAAGCTGGTCGTTGTTCTATCGAACGATGGCTAATTTGCTGAGAAGCGGGAAGCTCCCGGTTGAGTGGATGGCTACAAAGGCAATTCTGCCGATATGGGCCAAGATCATCAAGTCGATCAACTCACATGAGTCTTCATTGGGCCCAGCGCTTGAACTACTAGATGTCGTTCTTCTGAGAAGCTTTGGTCTCGCGCCGCCGAACCCATGTACGGATAGCGAATCCCAGTGGGCAGACCATAATGCCACAGAGGCTCGGAGAAACCCCGTGAAGCCATCTGTACGCGGTGCTCTCAACAACACGGTCAACAGTATGCTTACCATCTTTACCTGTGCCGGTCTTTCCGGAACCAGCACTCAAGGAGAGGACCAACCATATCCCGGAAGGTACCTGCGCTTACTGCACTACTTCTGCCAATCGTTCTCGATAGAACTGGCAAAGACCAAGAAGTCAAGAATGCCAGGAGGGCCTCAGTCAGTCATAACAACGCACACAGAACGCGCTTGTACACTTCTGGTCGCTGACTTACTCTTGTCGACAAGTGACCCATACTCCATGGGGATCTCTGAGCACTTGATTCCCCGGATCGGCGAGCTCAGGCGCCTCGCCACTGGCGATTTTGTCAAGAACACATCAGTTATTGACGCAATATCAAAGGTCCTGAACTCTATCGCCCGCTCATACGGGCACGTTACGCAGAAAGATCATTTTGATACGTTGAAGGGATTGTTGCAATCGCTCACGATAGTTTCTGCCTCTGCAGAGCCTAAAAATGTTCATTTCATGGACCGTATAGTGTATCGTGCTGCGATTGAGTTTTCTGAAAACTCACAGGACAATGTGCACTTCCAGTATGCAAAATCATTGGAAAAGACGATGAAGCTTTCGGGTCATGGCCTCACACTCGATGTTCCATCCTCGGAGTCGTCAGAAGACCCAGAGCCCACGAGCGATTCTGGCTCAGAGGGTGACGAGCAAGAGCAGGGCTACCGATGGGAGGAAGGCATCGAGGAATGGATTATGTGCACTCCTGCAGCGGTCGCGCGCAAAGGCGCTAAGAATCTCGACAAACCGCTGGTTGAAGACGAACCGGAGTCGTCGCTGTCAAGTAGTCTGTCAGTGTCGACGCCCGTTGTGGAACGGCAAGACTTCCAAAGCCGGGAAATGAGCGTGTACGAGTGCAGACTGGAAGCTGTCTCTCCATCTAGGCACTATATGTCGCCACAAGTCGTTATTTACACTCGTCCAATTTTAGCACCACAGCCGACGCTCCCGCGGAAACGCCCTTCTCTTGCCCGGAAGATCTCATTGGCAGAATCTCCCACGTCGAGTGGGACATCATCGATCGATTCAGATGACGAGTCAGACGAGTCCGTAACGTCGGTCTCAGAGGACGACTCTCAGCAAACAAGGCATCAGCAGCCACGCAACACCAAGAAGCGAAGCTTTGCGCAAGTTATGCGCGATCAAAGAGCCAAACGCCGGAGGACATCGCTGGAAACATCTTGTTCCGACAATTCTGACGATAACGAAGAAGAAGCCGTGGAGCAGGACGATATACAAACCGATGACGATCTAAGAATCTACAAGGCTCCCGTTCGTCGCTCAAAGCGCGTGAGTGACATGATCGATCTTGACACCTCCTTCTCCTCTACCAGCACAACTTCTTCACGCCGATCCTGCCGACGACCAACTCGGGGTCTCAAGAGCCAAACCAGCTACACTTCTGTCCGCCAAGATAATCGCAAATCTGCATCAAAGTCGACCTACCACACAAACGACATCCTGAATGAGAGTGCCAGCGAAGAAGACGAGCTCATAATGCCAGTCATACCATCCCGCTCGCTACGCGCGACATACTCGCATAAGACCCGCGCAGATACCACCAGACCTGATTCTCGCTCAAAGGAGCGCGCTCATCGTGCTATTCGTAGATTGTCGGCGGCACGGGGTGCTGTGCAGACGCGCATGATGCTTGACGATGAGATGAGTGGGGATGAGCTTAGTTTTTGATCAGGATCCTTTTGCTCTGGCGTTTGTTGACTTTCTGGGGGTATGGTGTAATTTGGGTTTTTTTTGGGATTGGAGCGTGATACCAGGGGGTTGCTTGTTGGGCTGGTGTTTTGGATTGTTTGGTGTTGTATGGCTGGTGTTTTGTAGGTGTAGATTGGTGTTTTGCTTCTAGGGCATAGATGGAAATGGAATGAGCCGTGGCATGTGTTTTGTGTTTTGTGTGGAAGAAGTCCTGAGATGTCTGATTGTGATGAGAGGCAGAGTACGCGGTATCTCGTGATCCCATTGGAGAGCCAAGTCTCGTCTGAGCTTGACAGCCTGTGAATGTGTATTGGAAGTGGGGTCATTGGGAGTGAGTAGAGATGATGCTTCTCAAATATATAATCTACGACTGTTGGTAGTAGTACTTGTCGTCTTTGGTGGCATGATTGTTTGTTTGTCGTTTAGCATCTTGTTACGGACACTTTAGACTTGATTCAAACGGTGAAAGTGGGAGTAGAAGTAGTTTTCACATTTGGTTCAGCAAGACACTCGAGGCACAGAATCGATTGGTCGACGGAGAGAGCAAGATGACCGTTTGAACGTATGGCCATACGGTAAGTCTATCAGACCTGTATGCAATGCAAACCAAGTGATTGATCAAAACGTCGGGTCTCCTCCAAGCGGCGAAATGAGACCGCGCTCTCTTGATTCTGCGATCATACCCATCATTCGTTCAATATCAGTCCATATTCGCGCTCTGTTCCTCAAACCCTTCAAATCTTTCCAATGTCGCGTGATGAGTGTGTAGAGCGAATACCAGTTCGTCTTGCTGGACGGCAACTTACCAGAGACAGGACTGGCCTTGGATCGCCAGTCCTGTGACAGAACCGGTCGCTCACCTAGAGCTTCTGCGCTTGCTTTTTTCCACCGTCCGACAAACGCTGGGTTTTCGCGAACGTATGCTTCTTCAATTATACGATTAATGCGATCTATTTCGGCAGACTGTTCATCGTATCTAGCCAGGTCGCGCTCGTTGTCGATGTAGGATTGTGCGATGTTACCGAACGCTACTGCGGCCCAGAAATAGGGCTCGTCGTCACACCATACTTCCCATAGCCATGGCATCTCTTTCATCAGAAGATGTTTCCATAGCGTGTTGGGTAAGTGTCTGAAGGTGCGGCTGGCTAGGCGCAAGTTCGCAATGTTCTTCGACGAGAGATGCGAGAGAATCTCCATCTTCAACTCCCACGGGAGTCGTGAGAAGTCATCGGTCTGTAGTCCATCATCCTTAGACTCGGCGAATGGGCTTCCTCTAGGATCAAAGTCAGGCTTCGTTTCAGTGGCCATCTGTAGCAGAGCTGGCAACTTTGGGACAAACAAAGGATTCGCTGCAAGGTACTCTGTCCCTTTCGGATGGAGCCAAAAATCGCTCCCACACCCTCTCACATGTTCGTGATGACCCCAGGAGTAGGGACGATCGTCTTCGTCTACATTTCCGTCTGCACGGTACGTTGGTTCCCCATACCTGGGGCCGTCAACGAAATAATGCCAGTCCATCAGGCCGTTGACGTCGACAACGCCATTACACCGACGAGACAGCCTAGCGTATATATCAAAGCACCAAGGATGGAACGGCATGGCATAATTGTCGTTCGGATCCCAGACATACTCGTTGCAGAAGACACTATCTTGTCCGTAGCGTATAGGGCGCAGGTGCGGGAAGAATCGCAAATCCGTTGACGACATGTGACCACACAGTCCTGTGAATACATATCGGCTCGCGCTTTCGTAGTCGATATCATCGGATTCCGGGGCCCAATTGGGTTGTCGGCGGACCATTCCTTGAAAGACATTGCAGTCCCTCATTTCTTCGAACTCGATGAGATTGCCGTTATATGCGGTCACAGTCGAGCAGTCTGCACTTTCAGTCGTGTGCTCGATTTCGTGCATACGATCGTAGTACAAAGGCGTTTTGGCTTTGTAGAATTTTTGTGCAGGGAGCCAGGTCTTGCGGTCATCGATGGTCTGATCTATCATTACCTGAAACTTTGGGGTGCTTCGGCACCATCCGAAAGTCCACGCTTGGGTGCTGTGATTGCTTGGAGAATGCGGGACATTGTCGTTGATACTCTTCGGTTGATGAGGTATTCCATTTGTGTTTTGCGATTCCCTGCGATCTGCGTCTGTCTTGACGCCGTCCCCCATAATCTCTTCGGACTCTTCAGCATCACCATATTCGCCATCGCTGATCATCTCGTCATCGGAAATGAACTCAAGCTCTTCGTACTCATCTTCCTGGTCGTCTTGGTCCAGCATGTAATCGCTGTCTGCTGGATCGTCATTGTCGTCGATGTCTTGAGTCGATATCATATCCTTCAATTGGACATTATCTGGAAGACACGGGCCCTCCCTGCGAATGATCACCCAACATTTACCCTTGACGCAATTTTTGCGAATACCTTGTGGCACGCCAATCATATCAGCAGTGTTGAGCCACCCTTTGTAGCGAGGCTCAGTGGGACGTCTCGAGCGACCAATGTTGAAGCCTACGCCACAGAATCGACATTTGACTTCCCAGTAGCCCATAGTGGGTAAGTTGATGTTCTGAGCTGCGTCTACAAGAATAACGATGCTGCCAGGAGAGTTTTATAGTGGCTCCCTGAATCCCGGCAATATACGCGCGAGCCTTTGCTGCCTTTGCTGGAACACTGCACTGCGCTATCGCATGTTGAAGCGCGGGAAAGGCTGCAGCAATACCTGACCCTGAGCACGAGCTTGCCACGAAATCCACAATGCGATGTAGAGTGAGGAGGGTGATCGTGCGTAATGCACGAGGTGCAAGTGTTGATGGCCCGATGCGTAAGGCAGCAAGGCATAAAATGCCAGAAGCGTAGTCAAGTTCACGTGACCAGATAACGTCTTGGCACATCGAACTTGTCGTCAACCCTTAGCACTTCACCGAAGCTCGAACAAAACACTCCACTCATCTCAATCCATCTTCTGCAGTCTCTCGTCAGCTCGGTACGACCTCCCCTGGTGATCCTCGGAAGAGTGATTCCTCAATTGACGTCTCTAACCCGTTCGCGCAGTGCCGACAATGTCTGCCTCTCGATTCCTCCGTCCTCTCGCCCGGGCGCTCCCACGCCAGCCGGTCATTCAACAGTCGGCCATCGTCCGTCCTGCCGCCATCGCATCTTTCAGCACTCAAACTCGCGTCTCCCAACCTACCAAGAATGCGCCCGCAAAGATCACCCGTGTCGCTTTGCCCGAGGAGAAGAAGGCAGGCAAGATGGTAAGCTTGGAGCTTCGCATGTCAAGCGGGAAGGGAGAACCGATGTTAATGATACTTCGCAGGTCGCTCTCCAGTCTGCTATGCCCCAGCTCATCCCCTTTTTCTTCGTCAACGAGGTCACGTTTGCCTGGATCCTGCTCCCGACCCTGATCTACGTTTTCTCCAAGTACCTCCTTCCCCAGAAGGTCCGCCTCATGGCCGCCCGCATGTTCATCAGCAAGCTATAAATGTAACACTGTGTTGCTGGATCATGTGAAGAAGGGGACTAGGATGGTACGATAGATTGTGTATATAAGCGATCAATCAGTTCCCTTTGTCGACTGTAGTCGGTGTACATGTGCTAATGTTATGCCGCGAGTCGTGAATGTGAATGACTTCAGTGTTCTACCGAATTCACATCGTGAGACATGTGTTCAGGGGTACATTAGTCGAAAATAACAATTGGTCTAAGAGAATGACTGGTCCGAAATCACTTAGTCTTGGCTCTGTACAAAAGGTCGTACAAAAGGTCGTACAAACGGTCATAGGTACGTGAGCATTACCCCAACTTACGTTCAAATTCGTCGGCATGAGGTACCACACACAAACGCACCATCTTCACTCTAAATATTCTTCAAATACACACCCTACCGTTGCGATGTCGTTATTGAAGCCGAAGCTGGTCGTCGCCGACAGTGATGCGAATGCAGTCCGATCTTGGCTTCTCAGCAGGTCAGAGAAAACAACGAAACTCAAGTTCTCAGAGTATGTTCCGCACCTGTCTGAAATGTAACGGCTGACGCCTTGCTAGGTGTCTGTCATCTCCGATTGTAAAGTTTGTGGTTGGCCCAGCAGACAATCGTATTGCGTACCTCATCCATGTGGCTTTAGCTGAAGCCGACTCGGAATACGTAAGACACGCTCTTCGAGTTCCCATGCAAGAAGCTGCAGAAGCAGAAATCCGACTCGAAAGCTTAGACCCTTATCTTTTCGGCTTCTACGTCGAATACCTCTACCGTGACGGCTGGCTCTTTAACGATGCTGTCCTTCATGAAACCGTGTATGTGACACTGGTTAAATTGTATGCTTTGGGTGACTATCTCCAAGCTAGCGAGTTTCAGAGGGCTGCATACGCCAAGTTTGCCTACGGATTCTCCAGTGTGACGCTAGCGGATCACACATTGTGCGCCTTGCTGGAGATGGTTTTTCATGATTTGCCAGAACGATCGGCAGTCAGTGAAGACAATTTGCGCAAGCATATCTTACATCGTGCGGCGACACAACTGAGCAAGCTTCGTCACTACGACCGCTTCTCGATGCTCTTGGAACACCTTCCAGAGCTGTCCCGAGAGCTTTTGATGACCCATCCGGACGCAAATTCCACCAAGGGTCATGAGCAGCCGTCAAAGCGTCTTGAGAAACTCAAAAAATTCTCTGCAGAAAGCACGTTTGGTGCTCACCAAACTGAGGATGGCTCTGCGCCTACATGAGACCCATCATGTGTGGCTGCCGATCAAGGGGTAATACGCGTATCACTCCTGAATATGATTGAGAAAGGACAGAATCTGAAACGGCCGACATAAACATACATGGTAACCATTAGGATAGGTATTCATGCTTTGGTATGGCATGCGTCGCGGAGACAGGTTAGATCTCCATTAACCAGAAAAATTCCACTCTTTCCCTCAGTTCACTTTCTCCATCTGCCACCTGCCATCTGCCACCTACATCATTACTTATGGTCCATTCTCTCCACTTGTCAAGCCCAAGGTTCACATCGGCGCGGATGTGAGGTTCGAAAACTACAAGTGTTCAGCTGTGCACTAGCTTACCAGCCTCCGGGCTAGTATTCATCGATAGAAACATCTCTCGGTGTTATATACAACGGCTTTGAGCAACCGGCCTTTTCACCCCCCTCCCCTACTCTTTTTCTTCTCCATGACAATGTTCTATCCCATTTTATACCAGAGTCTACAACAATCACAATACTTCTCCCAAATCATCTCAAAGATACCATCCTACTCTTCACTTAATCATTCACACTCTCCCGTGAAGTTCAGATATGATGCGCTCACTAATGCCGCATATACATCTGAATACGAGCTTATCCAAACAGCAACAAATCACCTCCTCGCACCTACACTGCTTAAATAGACAGACAGCCCGAGGTCTCCCCTGACACTCCCTACTTACCTAGCACACATCTCAACCCCTCAGAAAACCATAATCTGCATTTCCAGGACGGATCACAAACGTGTAAAAGCCATAACAGAGGTATGCGAGAGAAACGAGCGATGCACAGGCGTGGCATGGTTCATTAAGGGCAGGACTGGTGATGGAGATAATAAACGGCGTGAAGCAGCTAGGTAAGATGCGTAGAAGGGAGGTTGTGTTGCTGATAATATTCTGCAATCCTCCTTGATGGCTGTAGGAGTGGAATAGGGGTTCGGTCGGGTTACTTTGGGTTGATTTAAGGTGTGGTATCGTACGCAGGTCTGGGTTTGTATCATCAATTCCTGCCTCAGGTATTTGAGACTCTGACTTCTTATATGATGCTCAGTCAAACAAGCGGCAGGAGGTTAAGTATAATATCGGGTTCGAACATGTAGATGTTACAGAAACCACTTGATCGAATATGCTCTCTTTCTCGAGGGGACTACTCAGAAGGAATTGGTAGTGCTAAAACGAGCTTCTATGTATGATACATGGAATATAGTGTCTTGAATACATCATGGAATCATACAGCGTGTCATCGACTAGTGAGAATCAAATCCAGCATAGGATCGAAACTCCTCGCAGAATCTCTACCAACATTCAGTCCGAAATACTACATGTTGAACACAACTGTCCCAAACAAAACGACGCGTAAACCCAATCTCAACCAAACACGCCAGCCAAACCACCTCACACATCGATGGCTAGCAGTATAGCACACCCATCCACATACCACACGCAAGCACACCAACAGCAATCAAAGACCCCTATGACTCACAAACAACCCACAAGACCAGAAAACCCCTAAAACAAGGCGAACGAAAACGTATTCATCCTCCATTGGCTCTGTTAAATACCTGCATGTCTGCCTTGTGCGGGGATGCTTGACACCCTCGTCGCTTCGGAACCGGTCAAGGTGATCTGTGTGCAGGAGGCGCACACAAGGCTGTGCCTGGGGTAGAGGGGAGGCAGCAGGGTATAATGTATAAAATGCTGCTTCTTTGACCCGGTTTGCTTTGTTTTGAGAATACCGGTGTCTTGGACTTGTTTGTGTTTACGAGGGTTTTTGTAGGGTGTTTGCATGTAAGTTCTACTACTCCTACTCCTACTCCTCGTCCTCGACTGCGAATGTGTAAAAGCACAGCATGACATCAACCCATCCCTCCATCCATCCCTCCCTCACTCACTCACTCACTCACTCACTCACTCCTCCCAAGCGCTGCTCTTCCTTCCCTCCCACTAACGAACCTCCCACAAGCACAACAAAATGTCAGACATCCAGTCCCCCACCGCAGTCGTCCCACCCGCCTTACTCTTCTCACCCACCCCCTCCCAAAGGTCCAGCATGGCCGACTTCCCAACGAGCCGTCTCCCACAATACCTCTTCCGCGTCTTCTCGCCCGCATCCGCCGGCAGCACGAGCGCAACCGAGATCCTCCCGCACTGCATGCACAAATACAAGACCACCCGACAACCACGAGACGTCTTCGCTACTGACCCCAGTGCCGCCGCCTTCATGGTTGAACGTCATCTAAGATGGAGACGGGGCCACGAACACACATGCAGTTTGGTCAGTTGGACGAGCTCGCTGCTTTTCGCGCTGCAGTACGGCTTCTACAAGGCCTCCAAGGAGAAGGTTGATTTGTCGGAGGTGAACCTCATGGTTATTGACACTGCAGCATTTGAGCCGCGGCAGTTCATCAAGGATCTGGATCTGCTGGCTGCGTTCGAGGCGGATGACAGGGTATCGGAGGAGCGCAGGGTGGAGCTAGAGGGACTCTGGGGACTTCGGACGAAGAAAAAGGCTCTGAACAAATTGTTTTATTTCGGCGAGTACATTTCGCAGGGGAGGATGGATGTGGCGGGCCGGTGTGCGGTTACGGATTTCGGGAGCATGGTGCAGTATGGACTGTTCAAGGTGTATCCTCAACTGGGAGACAAATCGACCTGGTCGTCATGGGCAAATCGGGTTCTTGCGCTGCGTAGAGAGTTTTTTGAGGATAGCGACGGTCCGGAGCAGACTGATCGCCTAGTGCCCAGCCGTCTGATCAAGATTGCGAAAAAGTGCTTTGGAGGGGTCTGGGCTCTTCCTGTGGCGATTATGTTTCTGGCTTTGAAGCCCCGAGCCCGCGACGATTCCGCGATCCTGAGTTGTTTTGGGAAGCAATTCACTTGTAAGTGTGGTCCAGGGAAGCAGGGAGGGTAGGTAATGTCTCGAGCTGACGATTTCTATCAGTAGCACAGGTCGAAGCTTGGAATGAGCGTGAGATCACGATTGTTGCGGAACGTCAGCCGGAGCTGGAGGAGTTCGAAAACTTGAAGCATGTAATCGTGAATCACATTGTGGATGGAGGTGATATTCTTAACGCGCTCGGGAATCTAGCGTATGTTATATGGACCTATTGACATTAAGACGACACGTACTGACTCGAAACAGGATCTAGTCATGACTTTTGCATTCTGTCTACATTCACCCATCTAAGCTTCCTGGTTCCTATCTGTTCATATAAGTACATCTCGTCTCTACTTCAGCTACGCTACTACGACACAATGTAAAAGCATATGGATTATTTTTGAATATTCTAGAGTACATTGCACACGAGTAACTACCGGAGAGCAAGACACGTGATGGAAGAGTAATGTATACAGTCTATATATCCAACGGGGGTATCTAAAGCGATATGAATGTACAGAAGCGAGACCGCATCTCCATGCTAACAATGAAGCGTACTTATAAACGGGACAGGGATCCAAGAGTAAATGTAAGCCAAGACAGTCAAAGAGTATGTTATGTGTACATTGTTGAAAAGCCGGCTTCCAGCGTCTTTGTTCCCTCGAGCGTTAATTTTCAGCCGAGAGCTCCGAGCCCGAACGGGGAATCCCGGGGGCGGAGGCAAAGCAAAGGACTTTTAAGGCGTGCAAGACATAATAGGCCGAGTGCACGGATGCGCCTAGTCAATGACATCACCGCTGTCCGTCCTGGTCAGATTGTTCGTCTTCCTCATATAGGTGTTCGTCTCCTTGTGCTCGTTGAAGTCTTGGTGCATTCTCCCCATGATAACGCCCATATGGCCATTTTGGATGGTTTCTTTGATAGCATCCTTGCTCAGGGTGTGATGGCGCACAAACTTCCCCTTGCAGCCATGCTGAAACTCGCCGTTGGGAGTGAAGTCAGGCGTGCCATTCGCTTCGTCGCACGGTATCTCATTCAGATCGTTTGGTTCGTTGTATATGGTGCGAATGTATTCTGCAAAAGCGGCCTGCTCAGCGGGCCAGGGATGTTTCCAACGAGCACAGTTCTCGAATTCGGGAGAGGGCTCGTCGGGGCACGCGGCCCAGGTCTTGAGGAGGTCGTGAGTGCGCGGGAGGTTCTGAGCGACGATGAAGCCGGCGTTGTCGTGTAGGCGACCGTGAACGTCGTGGTTTGGTGGATCATCGGGGTCGAGAGCCATGGTCATGGAGGTCTCTTTGGTCACGTTCCATCGGTTGAGGAGCCACTCGAAAGGGAGCTGGGGGAAGCGGATCTGGGCATCGGCGTCTATGGAGACGACAAAGTCGTAGTCGTGCAGATGGTCGGCGAGGGCGGGAATTTTGGTCCAGTAGGGAGCGCGGTCGGGGTAGTCGGTAGTGCGAATGAATTTGTAGTCGTAGCCATGGATCATGGCGTAGAAGTAGTGGCCAAGCATTCCAGAGGGTGTGTTGGAGAAAGTTGTCCAGTCGAATGGCGTAGGTACTTTCCCCATAAGCTCATTCTCGCCATCAAAGGGCCGGTTATCGATGTCGACGAGGCATAGCCGCTTGCCGAGAGATTTTGTCCAGATTGGGTGTTGCGGAATATGGAATACCTCGCCGTCGACGGGGTCAGTGAAGGTGGGAGCGGTGATTGGCTGTAGAGTCGGAGCGTAAAGGGCCTGTATGATGTCTCTCAAGGAGGGTTTGAGTGGGATGGCGTCTGGTAGCACGTAGGATACCTTGGATTTGTGCACGCTGCGAAGAGTCAGGGTAGGACTTGCGAGGATTGAAGCAAGAGCACTCACGCATTGCTAACGGACTGCGAAATCCTGGAGCGGTTGAGGTAAAAGAGAGAAGATATCGACAGTAAGACCAGGAGCGAGCCAAAGAACAGTCGTTGATAACGAGGGTGAAGGTAGGTTTTTGAGGCGACGTCTAGAGCGCCCATTCTGGGAGTGAATGGCACAGCCGACGCCTCGAGCGCGCAGCAGGTAAGGTCGAGTGAGATAAGGGACGGGCAAATGGAGAGCAGGCGAATGGTTGAAGGAGGAGGTCGTTCTGATTATGTACTATGGAGGCGCCAGGTGGAGACGAGATTGCCTGGCGAGTGAAACAAACACGAGCCATGATGGCGTCTGACAGGACAAGGAAGGCCTGTCGAGGGCGTGAGGAGGGTGTGATGGAAGCGGCGAGAGTGAGTGAGTGAGTAATTACAGGCGTGACTGTGCCGCCAAGTTTGGTGACATCCATGATGGATAGATTCTGGGTGAGCGGCGTAATGCATGCAGTAGTAGTTGCAGAAAGTTATCAAGTGAGTTGTAGGTAGAGGTCGGAAGTTGGGTCGTCGATTGGTCGGTCCAAGTAGTTCTAGCCAGGAGCGCGCGCGTCAAACATCGATACCCAATCTCAAGTGTCAGTCCCGCTCTGACTGTACCGACGCAGGACCCATCGTAGCGAATGATAAATAAAGAAATCCATGGATAGTGCCATGCATGCTGCAGATGATAATAAGAATAAGAATAACAATCGCAATAATATGCATAAGCTGATGTTTTCTTCTCGCGCTATACCGGATGTGGCTAGGCCGTAAGCGCCAAGCACTAAGCACTACAAGCATTGTCCTGAGCGCCATCTAAGCACTGCGCCACGGCCGGACCCCAGGTATATCGAGTACTGGTGTTGCGTAGTATGTAGTATCGTTCACAGCCTCAGCCGTCACATATTTATAGTCTTCGCGACACCAGCTCCGCCCCAAGTGGCCGATCCAACTATTTCTTGCCATAGTGCTACTTGCTTCTGGCTATATGCAGCGCACAGTATCAGACGCTGGTATATCTTGCGTAACTGCCCTGGTCGCTGGGCTGCTTGTGTTCCAGACGAACTCTTTTGTGATGCTCAGCTAGACTGACTGACGCAGGAGTTAAGGGTTCGAGCTATACTTTGGAGGATGATCCATCGTAAGCATTTACATCGACGTTGAATGTGTAGAGGCTGCTGGACGGGAGCGTTGATTGCGTATACGAGATGCTGGTGGCCGTTTTGTACTGTAGGTGGCGGGAAGTCGACAGCATACTTTGTGTCAGTGGTATGTTGCTCTGGATCGACTCCGTTGTGCTGTTTCTGCACTCTGAGCAGTGGTCGTGTAATAACGCCAGAAAGTCGATCGGTCCAGGACTCAGTAACATGATGTGCTCAAGATCCCTCGCCGTCTGCTAGGCTCATGATGATGCTGTTCTTGACTGCGCACCGCTTGGCTGAGCTACATCCGAGCTCCGGCCATATCTGATCGGTCGAGTGGTGGCCTCGGAATGATGCAATGAGCCGAGCAGCTTCCTCGCAGTCCATAGTATCCTTTGATGCATCAGCATGGACACCCGTGCCTGTGTCTATCTGGACGGCTCCACGCACGGCTTCTGCTTCTTGAACCGGCACTCGGTGCTGCTTCGGAGTGATTGCACCTGCATTGTTCAGTGGCTGCTTTATCTGAGCAGAAAAGGGTGCTCTGGCATCGATCGGCGTACTCGGCATCGCAGCCAACGTTTCCGATACCATCTTACGCTGGCTGAGCTGGCTGTACGACTCCGTGGTAGCGCCATTCAGCCTGGCGTGATTGAACCTCAAAAACTCATTGATATAGGCATCATTATGGCCCAGATGATACAACAAAGCTCTCAAGCCATGATTCTCCTGCACGACTTGCCGAGCAGCTTCCTGCATGGCAGACGATGCTTGGCTGCCTGCTCGCTCGTAGTCCCGGAGTCGCCGCTCGAGGTCCAGGACATATTCCTTGCGGCGCTCTCGTGACTGACGCTGGGATTCACGATTTCGTAGCTGTTCTTTGGCTGGTGATCGTGCTTCTCCAGATTTCGCTTTGGTCATGGTGAAGAGTCTGAGCAGATGAGGCAGCGTGGGCGTAAGAATTGTTGGAATGAAGATAATTTTTCATGTCATTCGGGAAGACTTACCAGAAATACTCGGTACCTTTGGATTTACTCGGTTCGCGCTAGCTTGAGTTGTGCTAGCGTAAGTTCATGGCGATATGCATGAATGCCTTAGGCCTGAATATGTAGCTCCTCAGGCCCCAAGATGTAGAGCCTCAGGCGTCAAGACGCGAAACCTCAAGACTCCAAGTCGTGCCTGCAACGGCGTCGCAGCATCGTCAATTCACCACAACACGTGCGCCCTTCGTATGCACCCTCGAGGTCTTCTTCTCTGCTGAAAAGACTTCTGCCAGATCACTACTGGAGCAGGCATCGCCATCGCAGTCGTAGGCACCCCGCGACCGGCATCCTCACGACGCGCCTCACCTACGTGAACTATGCGAATATGTCGGACGTCGATGTCATCGACCATTTCCCCAGCATAGCTCACCAAGAGACTACACATCCCGACCACCAAGCCACTGTGTCTGACTTCTCCGATTACACCGAATACTTTCCTGCTGACCTCCGACGCTCTCTGACCCTCATCGCACAGCTCGACGAGACCTACCGCAAGCGAACCAGCGAAATTCACAGGCTTACATCTGAATGGCAAAGACAACCAGATCTTCCTGTCGATCAGCGCGCAGATCCTGTGAAGCTGAGGAGGGACATCTCTGAAGCTCTAGACAGTGCGCTGATCTGCAGAGAGGCGTCTGCTGCTGAAGCAAACCGGATCTTTAATGTCACTGAACGCCATGCCCATCGCATTACCACCATCAGGAAGAAGCTCGAAGCCCTACCTAAGCCTCCGTCGCGCGATCCTACGCCTGTTCCTGTATCGCCACCAGTGGCACGCACAAGACGTCCTGAGACGGAGCGTATACCACGACCGACACTACATTCGGATGACGAAAGAGATGGAGATACTCGGCCCAAGCATCGTGCTGGGACACATCGGCGCCTTACTATCCCGGGTGGCTCCATAGCCGCCGGAGAGACCTTTGGAGGATACAGCTCGAACTCCGATATGGGAAGCCCGGCCGTCCCCAAGTCACAGAAGATCAAGATACCAAAAGTGCCTCGTATCAGGACTCCAGGCATGGGCACAGAAGTCCATAGTAGAGTGGCAGGCATTTCGACTAGTAATGCCCTTGCTCGACTCACTCCTCCTCCGCCAGATGCACTCCCCGGCAGCCGACATGCGCCCTGGATGAGATTGACAGAGTACGAGATGGCCAGGCTTCGCAAGCAGATGAAGAAAAATGCCGTGTGGACACCTAGTGCGACTATGGTTGAGCGGGAGCTATATACCCGTGGCCGTGGTTTGGCTGCCATGGAAAAAGCTAGACGTGAGGCGCAAGAAACTGGAACACCCTTCATTGACGATGACAATGATCCTCAGCCCCAGCCCCAATCCCAGTCCCAGTCGCAGTCGCAGTCGCAGTCGCAGTCGCAGTCGCAGTCGCAGTCGCAGTCGCAGTCGCAGTCGCAGTCGCAGTCGCAGTCGCAGTCCCAGTCCCAGTCCCAGCCCCAGCCCCAGCCCCAGCCTCTACCTCCACCATCACCACCAGCTGTACCTATCGCCGCGGAAGCAGAGCCGACGCCTACTTTACCTATCGCAGCAGACATTCTGTCCCCACCCATTATTCAAGATGATGCGGATGCCCAACCTGAACCAGTCCTTGCTGACGCGCCAGTACCCATGGAAATTACTATAGATACCCCCGACGGTGCAAGTGGTTTGGCTTCCGCTACAACTGCCCCTGCACATGCTGCCTTGATGGCCGGATACGTGTCGGCTCTTAATGAAAGCGCTGCTCTACCCATGACACCACCTCCGATAACCCCTTCTGGTACACCCAATTCGAAGACCACCGAGGGAAATGATACGACTCGAAAAGCCGTCAAACCGACACAAAAGCGCAAGAAAGAAGCTCCCAGGGAGCAACTTCCTCTTATCAGGAGAGCGGGTGGGCTGGAGGGAGCAAACACTCTGATCACTAATATTGGAAATACGATGAAGGATCTTTTCGGTCCTGCAACCCCAATTGCAGCTCCTAATAGCACCAGAAAGGACGTAGGTAAGACTCCAAAGACTGTAAAGAAGAGGAAACGGGAGGCATCCCCGGAACATAGTAAGGACGCTGGAGAAACCCCTGACGGCGCTTCTCAAGACTCTACAGTTGTTGCTGAGAACAACGCCAAGAAACTGAAGCTTATTCTGCCACAGCCGGCTAGATCTCAAGAAACGCCAGTTCCCTTACCAGCGTCAGCTTCCCAGGCATCCGCTTCACCAATTCCTCTTCCGACCTCTGCGAGAAGCGCAGTAGCAACAATGGTCCCCCTTGCTCCAGCCGGCCCTTCTACTCCTGTCCCAGCACTCAGCCCCCAGAAACTCACTCCTCCACTACCTTCACCGAATGAGCATATGCAGACGCCCGTGTCGCCACCGACTGCGCCGGTTGAGCCTGTAGGCACCGTTGATACTACTAATGTTGAGACTGCTGTGCCAGCAACCGCATCGGAAAGCCTGGTCCCCATTACTCGCCCTGTGGAACCTGTTAACCCCACGACTTCAACCACTACCGTTGTATCACGCTCCCGCAGGTCCTCTGTTACAGCCAAGGAGAGAGCCGCATCTACGGAACCGCAACTGGCTGCGCCATGCTCCCGTCGTGTGTCTGTTGCCCCCAAAGATCAAGTTGCAACTCCAGAGGCAGCAGCGGTACCTCCTCAAACGCAATATAGGATGTCAACCCGGCCTTCGTCTCGTAGCGGTGCAGCTGCCAAAGCGGCTAGCGTAGAACCCCAGGTCAAACAGGAAGCCAGTAAAGGTCACAACCTTCGTCGAGCAAGCAATGTCAGCCTCCCGACAGCTCACGAGGCTGCCATCGCCATCAACACCGCACCTGTGCGCACTCGTCGCAGGCGTGCTCCTGGACCGGTTGCCATAGATGAGAACGGCAAGGGTATGACGACTATCGCGCCGCGCAAAAAAGGAAAAGGGCACGCACGCCGCAAGAGCGAAGAAGGCGCCGCCGAGGACGACATTGATGACAACGAAGAACGGTACTGTCTCTGTAACGATGTCTCGCACGGGCAGATGATAGCTTGCTCTAACGAGGAAAGTGTATGTATCGTTTCAATAACCATCCACAATCTGCCTAGGTCCTGCTAATAATTATCATAGTGCGAGAAGCAATGGTTTCACTTCGAGTGTGTGGGATTCACCCAAACGAATATGCCCGGAAGACGACAGAAGTGGTACTGTGAGGATTGCCGGAAGAAATTGAAGGTCGATGTCAAAGGTGAATCGGACCCTCTGGCTGGGAAAAGGGGCAGGTAGTGCACTGCTATCCACAGGAATTTGCTGTTCCGTGATGCTTGGAGAACACAATTAATAGTCACCTAATCCGACGGACATGAATTACGTAGGAATGAATGACGAGGATATTCATGTTCACCACTTCGAGAAAAATATGCTTGCGGGACCCAAAGTATTGCGGAATAAAAGCTATCATTGCAGACTGGAAGCCTGGAGACATGTCTGTGCTCGTTGGACAGAGTAGACATTCCATCTCGGCGGCAATTCGGCAAAGGTTCTGATTTGACATTGTTTGGCCAAGAAGTGAATCGAAGTGAACAACGCGTGTCCTTGTTTGTTTACCCCTTCGCGATGCCGTCATCACCGTCCATTCACCAACGGTGAACAATAGCAGGCCCTGTGACGTCGTCACCGCTCGCTTCTCAATAGGTCACCCGGCACACTTTCTCGCTTGTCGAATTTCTTATTTATAGCTCTCTTTCTCTGCTCTTCTCTCTCGAACTTCCTTTTCCTGCCAGCAACATCATTGTCTCACACGTCTCACAACGTACAACTTACCACACTTTACTTGACTTTGCCTCTCTATTCTCATCTCTTGCTTTCATGAAGAAGAAACGTTTGTCTATAAGACAACCATCTCGGGATCGTTTCCCTCAGAGACGTGCACCTCAAATTCGTTCATCTGTTCTTTTCAGAACCTGTCACCTCAAAGTCATTCAGGATGCTACCTCTTCTCGTCCTACTCGTGGGACTCAGTCTCTCCATCTTCAGCACAATTGATCAGAACATACCATGGCTTCGACCGGAGCTATTTGCTCTCGTCAAACAGATCGCTCACACTCTCACTCGTCCACAACAGCTACCAAGTCCGCCTGGGACGCTGGGACCTCCAACGCCAGCACCGGGTACTCCCATTGCTGCAATGTCACGCGAAAGTTTCGTCATCGGGTGTCTAAGTCGCGTCAACGCCACCTTGGAGCAGTGCCTCGAGCACATCGGATGGTCAACTCACTTGCCGCAGCCCGTCGATGTAAAGACACCCAGCGGCGATGCTCTGGTGGACGATTGTAGCTGCTGGACAGCACACATTCGGTTCTTCCTCGTCGTCGCTGGTCTTGTGCTCTTGTCGGCGGCACTGTACAGCAGGTGTTGTTGCACCAGAAAGCTCCCGCCGCCCTTACCTCAACCAGAACCCATCGACATCGAGTTTGCGATCAAGCAGGCGACCACCACAGCCGCATATCCTCCCTCAATCCCTCCTCCAAGCTCGCGTGTCCCACTGGGCCGTGATGGTGCACCGTTCCGCTTTGCTCCGGACAGCCATCACGTCCAGCGACCGACTGCCCCCTCGATTCCTCACTGCGGTCCAGCGCATGAGGCTATCGAGGAGGCAACACGCGAAGGGATTCCGGAGAGGACTGCGATTGAAGTCCTGCCCAACGGAGCAGAAAGCGACAAGGAGCCCTTCAAGCCGTCTTCGGACGTCATCCTGGCTCGCCACCTGGAACGCCGTGGAGAGAGCATCGCTCGCTCTAGCAACTGGCGCAGACGGACGGTGATCCGGTCTGCCATCACACCTACTGCTCCCGACCAGAGCGGTGCTACACCTCACGACTCTCCCCCTGTGACCGGCGCCGGTCCGACCAAGGTAGACGGCGGTGAATCTGATTCGCCTGCCCCTGCTAAGCCCGCGTCGGTTCACCAAGATGAACGCCCTGGCAATGGGGCTAGCAACCCTATTGTCACATCATCGCCCCTTGGCGTCGTGCCGCGTGCTCAGGCACAAGGTACAGAGACGACCTCGGAGGCACGGGAGGAAGAGCAGACTTCGCCTGCTTCTATCGAGCCTGGTTTCCCAAAGGCTAATGGAAGTGTGGAGGACCTGCCGGTCTCGGATGAGACCGTCCCCCTCGAGCTCATCGAGCTCTTGGAGGTTCTTCCTACCCAGGAGGAGCATGACGGGGAAGTGCCGCTGGACGTTGTGGAGTCTGGCACAATGACGAAGGAGCAGAAGGAGGAGGAGGAAGAGGAGATGTTTTGGCGGCGGGCGGTGGACCCGGAGTATGTGGAAGGCGGCCAGGAGGAGTCGTACTACTTCCAACCAAGCGAAGAGGGGGGACTCGTCGTCGGCTCGGTGGAGCCACAATTCTCACCCCCAGAGAGGCTCGAAGAGATTGTGGTTGCCCAAGCGGCGTCGGAAGAGGAAGCTCGTGCCAGCGAGGAGGATCCGCTTGCCGTTGAGACGGCGGGTCTCTCGCTGCCTGATCGTGCGGAGGTGGTTGAGTCTGCTGCTGGAGAGCCTGGTTTTCCCAAGGCTGAAGGCAGTGGATCGATTCTCTCTGATCTGGAGACCGTCGTCGATTCGTCGATGGTCGATGGAGATGAGGATTCATTTCCAATCACGGACCGCCATCAGGTTCCTAGCGGCCATGAGGTCGTAGATACCCCGATGGATGATGAAGACGGGGCGGTTCAGCCACCGGCGCAGCAGCGTCAACCCATCTTTACATACAACAGCACCCCCTTGCTGTCCCATGGTAGGTTCTTCGCACGAGGACAGCGCGCTCCGGAACAAGTTTCCACCGAAGAGCACAGCGCGCTCGTGGGGCCAGAAGGTACTGCCATGGAGTTGGAACCGGAAGTAGAGGAGGAAGTTGAGATGGAGGTGGAAGTGGAAGAGACTCGCAACGCGAGCAGTGGTAGCGGGCCACCATCAAACCCGTACAGCCTGGAGTACATGGACTGGCTTGGTCGTCAACTGAGCATCCGTCACGGAATCATTCGCCCAGACGAGACCGACAACATGGACATCGATGCCCCCGCGAGCACGTCCACCATCGTCTTTCGGGCCAGCGACTATTTCCCCACTCGTGCAGCCGCACGAGTGCAAGACCAAGGACCAGCCAGCCCAGCTCCCAGCGCTGGAAACGTGCCATACCCAGGGCACACATTCAACACCACTCCCGCCCGAGCGCAGCAGCAGAGATTCGCCCCGGTCGCACGCAGCAGCCCTGCAGCGGCCGCCTCCGCACAAGCCTCGCTCCGCACACCGACGCTCTCATACGAGCAATGGCAGGGCATCGGCCCTGACCCCCCTTCCTACATGACCCCCGAGTCACCCTTTGGTGGTGACTCTAGCGACGAAGACGAGGACGAGGCGGTGGACTTTGCCGACAGGTACAACTGGGCAACGACGGACGACACCCCACGGGACCGCGAGGAGGAGCGCGGATGGGAGTTGTTCATGGAGTCGGCCGCGTGGCGCGGACCGCGGACTCAGGGGGTCGAGCAGAGGACGAGCTCGCAGACGGGTGGTGAGGGTGGCAACGTGTCTGCTCCGGAAGAAGTGATGGGTCAAGCTGGCAGCACCAGCGGCAACAACAACACCATCACTCCATCGGCAGAACCCTGCCAGACAAGCACTCCGGCAGACACGCCTGCCTCAGACCCCACGCCCACCGACAAGATCTCCCCCTCCGCACCCACCACCACCACCACCCAAGCCAAGAAGCGTCGCATCTCAGATGTCGACGTCGACGCCGACGCCTCCTCCTCCTCCTCCACCTCTCCCCCCTCCCCCACCGACACCATCACCACCACCGGCGGCGCCTCCTCCAAAGGCAAGAAGACCGCCCGCATCACCACCGCCGCAGACACCCACCACGAGCCGGACCCGGCGCGCCTATACCTGTACGACATCGCGACCCGGGTCCCGGAGGATGAGATTCCAAGTCTCAACGAGATTGAAGAGATGGAGCGTCTCGTGGGGATGTTTAGCGACGACGAGGAGGAGGAGGAGTCGGACGAGGACGCACCACCACCACCACCACCACCACCACCACCACCGACCGCACCGCCCGCACCGACCGCACCGACCGCACCGCCAGCACCGCCAGCAGCACCGACTGCACCACCCCCAGCCGCGGCGCCACCGTCGAATACAAGTCCTCCACCGCCAGAAACGGTCACTACCTCGTCGCCGTCTCCCCTTCCGCCTTCCTCACCCCCTGCGCCTGCGCGTAAGAAGCCAAATACTCGTAGTACCAGGCCTCAGCCCGGTACTGCGTCGTCGGGGGTTCGTAGGAAGGGTTAGGAGAGCGGTGGCGAGTGTGAGAATGAGGCTCGTCGGGCGTCGTGGGCAGGGGTGGAAAGGTATAGTATGAGCTGCGGAGAGCGGAGAGCGGAGAGACGGGAAGCGGAGATATCAAGAGAAGGGTTGGCACATTTCGGAAGGGATCGCGCTGCTAGAGATGGGGGATTTATTTGCAGTCGCGGCTGGAGAGGGAGTTTGGGTTATGCATTTCTCTTGGGACCTTTTTTTTTTTTTCAACCTTTTTTTTTTGGAACGGTGTACGGGCGTTGGATCTGATTTGTCTGCCTAGCTGTGCAGGCGGGATACTTCTACGTACTCGCGCAACAGCATCTCCATCGCGTCTGCGGTGAGAAATACATTCACATTCACGCCCCTTGCAAACCATTTTCCATCATCATCATCATCATCATGCTCCGCTTCCTCCTTTCGTGCTGCAGCTTCCATGACTTGTACGCACCCGTCCACAGCCGGCATCATGGGATGAACATAGCGTGGTGTCTTGCCCGTGCCGAAATCGACGTCGTAACACCCAGTGCGCGCCCAGCTCGTGATGATTACGTGTCTGCGGCCGAGGAAGAGCTGCCAGATGCGCTGTGGGGTGGTTTCTTGCGTGAGGCTGTAGATGTGTGCTGCGAGGAGTGAGGGGGTGAGGGTGTGTAGAGTGGTGCGGATTGTGGATGCGGTGTGGGCGAGGGAGGTTGGTGATGCGACGGTGTGTGCGGGGAGGGTGAATGTGATGTTTGCGATTGGGGAGCCGGTGGTGTGAGAGGGGAGCGGTGGGGAGAGGCGTGTGCGGAGGGAGAAGCTGAGGGCTGCGTGGACGTTGCCGTCGTCGTCGTCGTCGTCGTCGTCAGAGTGAGTTGTGAAGCCCCTGGCTCGTGTGATGGCAGACCAGATATGTGCCAGGAGTATGTCGTGAGTGCTTGGCTGGAGGGTGTTGTTGGTATCTGTGTGCAGCGCGACGTGCTCACGCAGAGATGAGATTTCTGCGGCGCTGAAGTGCAAGACGACGTGTTCGACTGGTGCATCGCGGTTCCATTCGTGCCATGCTGTTCTATCAGGCTTGCGAATAGGTGTTTTGGCGGCGGGTTTGTCCCTCAGGATCTCGGGAGGTTGCATGGCCACAGAACGAAACGGGGCGTGTGCACAGTCCCACCAGTCGAAGCGCTGCATTGGAGCACTAAGAGCTTTGGAGAGGATTTCCTCTTTCGAGGAGCCGTGTAATGCCTTCGTCGCCGCGTCATCTATGAGTTGTGGCTCAAAGATTGCGGTCGGTGGAGCTGGAGACAGGCCGTTGTGCATTGCCGCATGTGTTGAAGACCAATCGCGGACGAAGAGAGCAAGGGTATGCGCATCTGCGAGGGGGTGAGATATCTTGACGCCGATGACGACTCCATCGCAGAGCGAGGTGACTTGCACTACCATCACGGGGTCGGATATGTTGTTGCTGTCGTCGTAGGTCGGAGCTGTCATGCCGTTTGCCAGAGGGTTTGAGAGGAAGACCTGAACACTCGTTAGAATCGCTGTCCCATTGCTAGATCTCGCATTGCTAGATCTCTCATTGCTAGATCCCTAGTAATGGATACGCACATCTTCCCGCGGTATATCTGTCGCTTTCCAAACTCTCCTCTGCGCCTGCTCCTGTGCCGTGGGGACAAAGTCATCAAGCTTCGCCGTTGAACACGCAGCTACAAAAGTGACCCCTGGAGCATTTGCATCGCCATACCACACTTCAAGACGATTGTAAAACGCCGTTCCGTTTGCATGTGATTCTTCATCGTCCTGATGCACCATACGCAATCGTCCTGTGAATTGCAGATAGCCTTGCAAGGTTGCCTTCAAGCTTTCTCGAAGAGCGTCAATGGCAAACGTAGATTCATCAGCCGAGCGCTCAAGATACCATAGCGCCCCGGTCGGTGTGAAGTTTGCACAGCTGGAATCAATGATCGAGAGACGTTTGCGAATAGGATCTTGTCTTGTTGCGTCATGGGCGGGCGAGTAAATGCTCGAGATGGCATGTATCTCTACCATGACCGGTGCTTTCCTAGAGGACATCCTGTGATGGTGCGGTATGTTCTGAAGGGGCAGACGTATGCTTGGCTACTTGTCAAGACAGCAGACTATGTCGTCTCCTAACGATATATATCATATGTGGCATGGATAAGTGACGTAGGATTGGTCAAACGCTCAACGAACGATGTTTGCCTATTGATGGCCAGGCTTCTTTATAATAAGTTGTAGCCATACTGTAGGATCTATGAGAAAACGACCCCTACTGCGGTCGATCGGAGGTTGAATATTGATCATTAATATGGTTCAGGATGATATCACTGCTAGAGCGACTAGCTAGAATCACGCTAGCCTGATACGGTTAGATCATAGCCCTCCAACCTCTATTCGTACCTACCCATAATTAATTATTAGATGAGGGCTGCTTCTACATCGCGTCTTTCACACTTCTAAGCTCATCCAGCATCGCGAACCTCTCACACTGTGTGTCTAGTACCATCAGCTAAACGATTCCAGTTCCAATGGCTCTCAATGAGATGCCTGGTGTTGTCGAGGCTCTGTCTCCTCTTCGCCGCCAACTGTTGAGGCTTCATGAAGTGATCTCAGCGCCTTATTCACTTAATTACTCACTATGGTCGAGTACAGTACTATCCAGCAGCCATTATGAATTCACCTCACATTCTGATCACTTCTCTCAAACTCGTCCAACTTACGCTTCGTCTCCCTCACCTCTCAACTCTCTACCTCTACACCTACCTCCTTCGACTTCACAGGCCTCCAAAGCTTTACAGATCCAGTATCATCTCTTCCGCTTAGACCTTCGTATCGCTTCTAGTGTTCCATAATGAGCGATTCAGATACCTCGTCTGTCAGCGATGAGCCCACCGCTCAAGCGGTGAACTATTTTGTCAACCATTGTTACCTTCCCAAACGGCTACCGTCGAAAGACGACCACAATGTGCAATATGATCGTGAATTACTCGGGCTTATGCAGAGCGCGCTTGAAGAAGCCTCCGATTCGGCAAATCCCAGTCAACTTAGTCCAATCGATTCGGCTCAATCAATGTTCAAGAACATGAAGGCATGTATGGACAAGCAAGGCGCGATTGATGCTGAAACTCTGACTACAATGCTGCAAAAATTGCATCCCAGAGGTGAGACCTGCTACAATACGCAAGTAATCATTTACTAAAGCTACCAGGTGGCACGATTCCGCTATTGATCCGACCACACAATGCTGCACTTATCATCTCAAACGCTGGCGAAAATGTAGTTTTTGATTGTTTCGAGCTGTCGCCAGATAACTCCGCTTGTATCAAAGCAAAAGGTCGACTGCAGCGTACCTTTCCATCATCGAGTTTTGCAGTTCCACTCACAGTCTTTCGCGCCGACGGGTTCCAATCGACTCTCGTGTCTACAGTCAGAAAGCTGAGTTTCCTCAGCTGTATCGACGCAGAGGATCAACAGGACAGGATCGATGCGAAAAATGTGCTTGATCGCGAAAGTCCAGACCCGTCACTGGTAACGGAGCTTTTGATGTCTTATATCAGAGCTTGTGGGAGCCCTCACAACACCTCTCGTATCATCAAAAATACCCGAGATGATGTGGTCGGCCCCGAGAGCCATCGACCCTGGAGACGAACTCCGATATGGCTATTGATGCGAGTAATGCTTCAAGCCCGACTACGCTCTAGTACGACTGAGCCGCACGGACTGTACAAGCTTTTCATGACTTTAGCCTTGTCCCAAATTCTCCGCCTCGCGACGAAGATTGGATTACCCTCTGATGTTCTTTCGTGCATGGTTGCAAAGATTAGTCGTCGGGTGACTAAACTTGGCGACATCGTCAGCCCTTGGCAACATAATATTGAAGAAGCTATAGTCGCTGCTCGTGCTCTCCTTGAGACTAGATGGAATGTTGTCACGGACTCAACAAAGAATGATTTGCGCTTAGAAGGTCTTTCGTCCCTCCAGCCTGCAGAGGACGCGTATCACCGTCTTCCAAAACTTGATAAATTCATTACGTCGACGGGCAAAAAAGCCAAGCGCCAGAAAATGGTAAAGTACGAGCCCAAAGACACGCTTCCCACTTTCGACGACGAAGATTTCCCCGATATTGTTTTCTCTGATGATGACGAGGAAAAGCTTGCCCTCGAACTACTAGCCACGGAGTTATGGGTCGAAACACATCTTGAAGCTTGGATTAATTCTAATTTGTTCGAGAAGACTTCGTGCACACTGATTCAGGATCTGATAGAAGCCTATCACGCTGCGGCTGCACCACACTATGAACAGAATCCTGAGACGTGTTCGATGATGGTAATCACTCTCTTCGAGCTATGGGTCGCCATGGATCTCTCAGCATGCTCGATGTTTACTTTGCTTCGTGAGTATGACCCTGACATACCTGTTGAGCTTCTACAATCCTTGATCCTCCCGCGAAGGCGGGAAATGGAGAGATTACATAAGCTGGAGAACTACCTGAAGCAACGAAAGTCGAAAGCTGATCTCAGCTTACCCGTTTCCATGTTTCATAACTTTGGCCATGCAGCATCCTTTGCTGTTCGCTTTTTTGACTCATCTGGCATCCACAAAAGTCTGCGCCAGGAGATTGAGGCACAAGCCTTGATTGACCGAGACGAGAAATGCCAGGAGCTTAGTGCAAAGGTAGCAGAGCACGAATGCCTCATGAGACAACATCGTGAGGGTCACTGCGATATGATCGAGGCGACTGTGAACAAGTACAGAGGCACCATAGAGAAAACACACAGTCCAAAGTGCAAAAGATGCCAGCTCTCTAAGAAGGCTGACCAGATACGAATCAAGCTGTACGAATGGCCACTCCCCAGTGACGAAAACGAACTGAAAGCTCTCGTTTTTGAGCTCAGAGTTCCACGTTCATTCCAAGCCTGGAGAGATGGGCTTCATTTCATTCTTATGGCCACACTCAAGTGTGATTATGTGTGTCCGGGCCAATCGAGGCCAAAGCTGTTGGCCAACACCTACAGTGGTCTTAAGAACTTCCGAGACTCTGACGCTTGGAAGTCACGGCATATTGATGTAGCTACTACAGCAAGGTCTCAACTGGGTTCCGTCTTGAAGCGCAGTTTCAAGCACATCACAGAGTTGAAGGAGAATGACGTATGCCTGGCCAGTCCTCTCCACTGGGAGTACTATGATCACAGAGCGACCTCATTTACTTCTGCCCCCCGCCCTACGAAAGAATTCCATGCCTTTTGTACTTACCAACTTCCCGCAAGCTCGATTACGCTACAGAAGTTTCTACATCGTCCATTTACACAACCGGACGGTCCACCTCCTAACGAGGTTATCTCATCTCAATGGTCATGCCCAGAAACACTTTCCCTTGATGAATATCGAACATATGCAGCACTTCCACTTGGTCATCGCCTTCAGTGGTTGAATATTCTTGTTCAGATCTCCGTACCTACGTTAGATTTCTCCAAAAAGGAGACATCTGCTCTCATTCTTCAGCTTATTAATCAAGCAGGGCCTAATACGCAGAATGAAATTACTCGTTCAAGTCATGAGCCTGTTCTTGATGAATCATTCGGACTGAAGTTCATGACCAAACTTGGAGAAGCGCTCGCAAGAGTGAAGCAGAATGTGGAGTCCTCTCATGCCGTCAAAATTTTCATTTCCTTGGCGTCACGTATTCTATCTTTGACCGCATCGGTAACTGTAGAAGCGGAGTGTCTGGAATTTCTGTCCGCCGCTCGTGCTATAGCATTCACCTGGCTGATCGGTCTACGGAATAACGCAAATATGTTCACAGAGGAGACCGCACGTGGCGAGCAAACGGATCGAGCCGTCGAGATCGCAACGGCGGTTGTAATGACCTTTGAAGTTGAACAGCGGCATCTTGACGTCCTTCTCTCGTCGACTCAAGAAGCGGCAATGCTTTTACAGTCTGCGATAGTCTGTCGGGAATGGACAGACAGCAATAGAGATACAGGAGACCATTTACTCCTGGCATGCATCCATCGCTGGCGAAAATTGATGTATCAATGTCGATCAAGACTGGCTGAACATATAACGGAGCAGGAAAACGGCTCTCTGGATGAAGCCATAAGCCACTCATGGACCAGCTATCAGGCAGGATCGTGGCATGCTCTTGCAGATCCTTGTGAACATTGGCTCGAGAGTGATCCGCCCCACGGCGTCAAGAACACAGTCCATTTCAACCTCGTAACTGCAGAATTACTTGTAAACGGGGTACCTCTGGCACGCCTACCAGGAAAGTACGAAATGCATCCGACTTATAGACTTTTGCTCGGGCGCACCGCTCTAGAAGTTTGCCCATCCCAATCTCCAGGCATGGAATTCGCGACAAAACAGCCATGGGCTGGATGCAATTTAGACTTTAGTCTCACGTCTTTCGATAGAAGAAAGGATGACCCTTTGGAGGATGATCTCCTAATCAAAGCAACCTCAACAAGTGGTGCACTCTTTGAGCTCTTGCCTCCCCGGCTGTTCAAAGCGGATTTCCCGGACTGTTTTATTGATGGTTTTTGCCATTGGCTGGAAAGATCTGAAGAACGGATAGAGTTCCGTCCGTCTTCAAGACCGTGGGATTCGTCACCTTTAAATTGGACACTGACAAAGATGAGAACTCGCACCTCATGGGTGCTGTCCAAAGGATCACTAAAGCTCATCAACAAGACTCGCCTTTCAGCCCAGACCCTTACTCGTATATTCTCGGTGATTGAGGAACCTGATCATGCTATAGTGACACATGATAACGCTGATGACTGTCTGAAAATTGATCTGACCCGACTTCAACTCAGCTTCCGGTTGAAAAAGGGAACCGCGTTCATACAGTCTGATCAATTCCAGGACTTCGTTGTGGACAGCTCTCAAGATATTGGCTCTCTAATCGGCCTGAAGAATAAGCTGGTCCTGAAAGATAGCAACGACAGGAACGATAGAATATTGTTGGTGCCCGAGAACGCAATCCAATACGTTAAAGCTGGGCACCACGTTCTCGTGACCATCAGTGCTAGCAGCACAAACGCAGTCAGCCGAATACATCGATTTTCGATCGACAAACTTCTAGGACGACTGAATGACGATGGTACCCTACACAGTAGACTTTTGCTGAGCTACCTACATGCAGTCACATCTGGATGCCTACCAGACCCGCTCACACATAAGACTGGAACTGAGGAAGCACTTACGATACTCAGATCTGCGTCTGTTCGTTCGTTCGACTACCTTTCGTCCGATACTCTGGATCTGCTGAAGTGCATTAGCGAACTCAGCCCTGCCAGAATTCTTCCTTTCAATGGAACATTCATTTCGCATCACGTTGTATGGGACAAGAACCTCAATTCTTTGGCACAACATAACTCTTTCCGTACTACAGTTGAGTCCTTGTATGACCAGGCAAGAGAACAAAGTCTCTTTTATCTTAAGTCTGAAAATTACATCGAACCTCCTACCCTGACAATGACGAGCCAACATTTAGTGGAGCGTGACAACATTCGGTGTGCAGCATTCCACATCCATGGATTCGGGGCTGAAGATTTCGACACTGCCAACGATGTCAGATATATATCAAGAGATTGCGGTCTCAATAGCAACAGGGCACAATCATGCTTCGTAGCAGCTTCTCTAATCTTCCGAAGGCGTGAAGTTGTGCACACAGTGCTGAGTCCCGACTATCATAACGACATATGGGAGTCTATTGTGCAGACCACAAGGCTACAGAACCCTCTTCCTGCTATTGATGTATCCTACTTGGCTTTTGATAGCCTATGGCTAGTCAAGCCGAAACAAACTTTATCTGAATCCTGGTGTCGGATACAGGAGTCATTAGCACGCTCATCGGAGTTGTACAGTATATTCCAAGTCATGATCTGGCTGTCAACCATCGCATTCACAGAAGATGGGAGTATGGATATTGTCCAAACGATGTCATCATTCTACTCTGCTCCGGCTCTAGCACAAATACGCCCACCAGATGTGCCATTGTGTAACTTTGGTCTGGGCAAGGCGTTGGTTGTGCACGAATTGGAAGACCTTCTCGAGCCGGCTTTGGTACCTGTAGATCAGTGTCCGGAGTCAAAGCTGCCGAAGACAATACCAAAAAAGAAAGAGGATGATGAAGCACTTGTCCTACGACGTCATCGCGCTTATCAACGTTTGCAGACCAAATGCTTGGCAGATTTCATTACAGCTTTGTGTGACCAGTGGCCATGCAGAGAACCGCACCTTCCAATAGGTCAGTTCGACATCTACATTGACGTTAAAAAAGCCATTGCGAGCGTGAAAGAATATTTCAAGCTTCGGTACGACAATTACCAATTTGCTGAGTATCTAGTCAAGATTGAAAAGACCGTCAGGACTTTGGCGATCGAGCCTGTTGCTATTTCCCCTTACTGCTACGATGATGATATCGATGCAACTGATGCACCGCTCAGGGAGCACCACTTTAGCGAGCAGGATGTGTTCAAACCTATGGCTCCTGAGATACCGACGCAGCCGCCGACAGATCCTTCCTCTCCGACTGTTTTCAGATATATAGTACAGGAGCATTTGGCAAACCCTACTTTATCGGACTTACTGTCTATTCTTGAGCTCCAGGCCGTTGCAGCACACGAAATAGAGTACGTAAAAACTCTAAGGGTAAGTGCTGCTTCACTTCAAGAATCAGGTGTCCATCAAGATAGGCAGCGGATCCACCCTGACTGCCAAAATGTCCAGGAAGAGTTGACCGCATTCCTCGCAAGCAGTAACCAGTATCTGCAAGTTTTGTTTGATGCAATTAAGCAGGCTATCACCGATGACCATTCTTGGGCTCGAAAGTTGGCAATCCGAACTGGAGCCTTCCCGCGAATATGCCCTAAACTCTTTGTACAACAATTGCAGCACAAACGCTGGGTCTTGTTGCCGCAAGCCTGGAAGGACTGTATCATAAAATATGGTCTGGCACTGACACAAGTGCAGAGAGCTGAAAGGCTTCTTTCTTTGTCATCGAACATGACTGCACTTTCGAATGAGCTGTCAAACCAAGGACACTCCAACTGGAAAGCATCAGAATACCCTGAAGCTTTACTTCTCGAAATTGAAAGTGCCATTGCTATCCGGGCAGTTCAAATGGAAACTGCACAGCACATGCAAAGCCCACCAGACAACAAGAACTCGATTTCGCAACTGATGATGGGGTTAGGCAAAAGCTCAGTCATCGTGCCCCTTGTTGCTGCTGCTTCCTCTACGGGAGAGACCCTAACGCGCGTAATCGTATCGAAGCCTCAATCAAAACAAGCCTTTTCCATGCTGGTTTCAAAGTTAGGCGGGTTGCTCGATCGACAGATTCACCACATGCCGTTTTCACGCTCCTTGACCCTGAATCTAGACCAGGCTAAAGCTGTCGAAAGGCAGATGAAGAACTGTCTCAAAAACGGCGGTGTGCTTTTAGTCCAACCTGAACATATATTGTCCTTTCAATTGATGGGACTGGACTGTACAATCTCTGGGCAGGATCAGGTTGGGCAAATTCTACTAAATATACAGCGTTTCCTGAATTCAAATTCCAGAGATATCGTAGATGAGAGCGACGAGAATTTCTCGGTCCGTTTCGAGATGATATACACCATGGGCCTACAACGTCCTGTGGAGTTCTCGCCGCAGAGATGGAACGTCATACAGTCGCTGTTGGAACTCATTCCGCGCTTTGCTCCTAAAGTCCAGAAGAGCCTGCCAAAATCGATCGAGATAGACGAACGACGCACAGGGCGCTTTCCACGGGTAAGAATACTTCGGTCCGATGCAGCCGAACTTCTACTGAACTTGATTACGGAGCATATCTGTTCTATTGGACTACCCGGGTTCCCGATTTCAAGACAGCCAGAACATGTCCGGCAGGCGGTCTTGATATATATTTCGAAGCCTGATCTGACATCAGAAGAGATCTCGCATGTGGAGACCGACCAAATTCATGCTTTTTTCGCGCCATCAACGAAGAATTACCTTCTGCTTTTACGAGGCCTCATCGCTGGTGGCATCGTATCATTCGCGCTGCTTGCAAAACGTTGGAAGGTCAATTACGGCCTCGACCCAGCACGAATACCCAGAAGTCGACTGGCTGTGCCTTACCGCGCGAAGGATACACCGTCCCAACGATCAGAATTCTCGCACCCAGACGTTACCATTATCCTCAGTTCTCTGAGTTATTACTATGGAGGTCTCAGTGACGAAGAAATGTTTCTCACTTTTGGAAAGCTTCTTCGTAGTGACCAAGCTGATGGTGAGTTTGGAGAGTGGGTACGTTCGTCACCAGAGCTCCCACAGGATTTTCATCAACTGGCAGGAATCAACATGAAGGACAGAGTGATCTGCACCGATCAAATATTTCCTCATCTCCGATTTTCCAAAGTTGTTGTAGACTGGTATCTCTCGAACATGGTGTTCTGCGCGGAAATACGCGAGTTTCCCCAGAAGCTGTCCTCTAGCGGGTGGGACATCGGACGAGAAAAAGTACATCCGACCACTGGTTTCAGTGGTACCAACGATGCTCACCATCTTCTCCCGCTCTCAGTCACGCATTTGGACTTGGCTGCACAGCGTCACACAAATGCGCTGGTGCTTAGCTATCTACTGCAGAGTGAAACTTCTGTGGAGCTTATACCCCCAAGAGCCTCTTCAAGCTTAGCTTCGGATGCAGATATACTTCTCGATCTGGTCCTCAAACTGGATCCGCTGCCTCGCGTGATCATCGACGTAGGGGCATTTATTCTAGAGCTCAGCAGTCGCCAAGTCGCAGCGCAATGGCTGGAGAAAATAGTACACCAAGAGGATACCAAAGCAGTCATATTCGTTGACGACAACGATGTGATTACTGTGCTCGATCGAACCGGTCATGTTGAAGCGTTGCAGTCCTCTCCATTTAGTAAGCAGACCCATCTGTGTCTTGTCTTTCTCTCAGAACAACACGCGAGAGGTATAGACATCTCTCTTCCCGCAACATACCGCGCAGCCGTCACCCTGGGAGCTCGACTCACCAAGGACCGATTGTGCCAAGCCTGTATGCGCATGCGGAGGTTGGGTAAGTCGCAGTCGGTAGTGTTCTGTGTTCCAACCGAAATACAATCAAAAATCTTGGAACGCAAAAGTCGTATTGAAGCTATCGCGGACACGAAACCACCAACGGAACCTATCATTGAGGTCAAGGACGTTTTGTCTTGGGCAGTTGGGGAGTCGTGCCTCGACTTACAGCACAGTATGCCTCTGTGGGCCGCTCAGGGGAAACGCTTCGAAGATCAGGTGCCTATATGGCAGAAAGCTGAACGAGGTTCTCACGAACAAGGCTATTATTCAATGTCAAAGAACGAAGCAGAGCGGTTCCTCGAGCCAGAGGCTAAGACACTCGAGTATCGCTTCAGACCTAAGCCTGAATCCAAACAGAACATTGAGACAATATTTGACGTCGCGAAGCCTAGCATCCAGAGTATCGTTGACCGCTGCCGCAAGTTCGCATGCGTGAAATTCAACGCTACATCTCTGGCTGAGGAGCAAGAGAGGGAACTTAACCCCGAGGCAGAAGAAGAACAGAACGTCGAGCATCCTGCGCCAGTAGATCCAGCTGACCATGTACTGCACAGAGCAGTAGAAGTCTTGGCGAGAACTGGAAAGCTAGACCTGAGGTCGGATGCCTTTATTCCAGCATACGACAGCCTCAGGGATTGTAGCGCATCTGATTTTGACGTCGCTCAATTTACTGAGGACTTACTTGTGACCGTTGACTTTGCCACTACGATCAAGGAGTTGCCAAAGGACGCTATCAGTGACTCGTATTATCGCCCGGTGCAGTGGATACTGACCAAAGTGCATCGAGGTACCGTCAAGTTCGTTATCATCATTAGTCCTTTCGAGGCTCAACACCTGATTGAGATCGTTAAGAAGTATAAGAAAGTCACGCTTCATGTGTACGCACCACGACCTAATCTTCAGTACCGCCCGCTCGATAAGCTGGATCTGTTCACCTTAGGGGCGGACTTCGATCCAAAATATCTGCCACGCAAGTTAGTTGTCCAATTGAACCTGTTCGCTGGCCAATTATACCTCGGCTCCTACAAAGAGTATACTGAGTTATGTCGATACCTCTGTTTGGCTTACTACCCGGCGGAACAAGGTATGATCATCGAACCTGATGGATATGTTGTCCAGCAACCAGGCTCTGAAGGCTTCCAACGCAGTCCAGTGCCCTTCATCAAGGTTCTCATGGCGAACATTCGTAGAAACTGTGTGACGATTGATCGCACACATATAGGAAAGATTTGCACAGGAACGATCCTGGAACAAGGCGATTTCGAGGCTGCGGAGCCAGATGTTGCAGTGAAAGAGGAGATGTGATGCTCAGCACACGAGATGAAGGACTTGAGCCTCTGGAAGGCCGATCAACTGACATTCTGAGTAGTATTTTGCAATTATCGAGAGAAAAGATCTTGTTCTCCGTGAGGCACATATAGACTATCATGTGGATCTTTGGACAGAGGTTTGGAGAGTCATATTGTGATAATAGCTCTTTGCTATATAGGGCTAAACTTCATTGATCATCATGTTGTCATCCTCCGATTTGCTCCGCCGTGCATCCCACTAGAATGACGCTGGTCTCTGCAGCCGTCAGGCCTGACGATCCATCATAGTAAAACCGACCACGAGTCTTGGCTTTGTTGTTCTAGCACCTAGTTGACAACGTCGACTAACCATGAATGTCTCCAATCTTCAGGTACAAACGTCTCGTCCATCCGTTTGGAGGGAATAAGCCACATCTCATGCCTCCTCGCCGTGGCTTCGGCCGACCATGATGTCGGAAATACTGACACGACAATCTGGACGTTTTCATGACTTGATAAAGCAACAGTAAACGAGGAGCGCGTGACTACCGCGTTCAAAGAGAAGCATAAGGCGTAATGGGCGTCCCAAGAACGGCTGTCCACCCATCAACACGCTAAGCTCTTACAGGTAATCATTCGGCACTAGCGCACACTTTGCAGGCTAAGTACTCCCAGAAAGGCTTAGCGTCTATGGGAATAGCCCCCAGCGCTAGTTATTCCCATCACTGGTGTTATTTGAGGCGTCCCCCCGCATGATATTCCCCAGGTTTTCATCGCAGACTATCTCCACATCTGCACGCTTCTCGATGCGTTCCGTGCGGGTTTAGGTTCGAGACCTATGTAGGCCCCGACAAGCAAACGTATTGATGGTGTTTATTGGACAAGATGAGCCGTGCCTCACACTTGTCTCGCGTTCCAACTGATGATGATCTTGTATGAAGGATCGGGTCTAATGTTGACCATGCGGGAATAGTCTTTGTGGACAAAGGTACATAAAAGGCTACATCCCACGATGACGAGAATGTGTTGGTATTTAGAGTCGCGTCGAACTTTCCTTGCCGTGCCAAAGCTTCATTTCAACAGAATATAGACGGACCACGCGAAGTGGAGGCTCAAGCGATGGAGAGCAACTACAACAGAGACCCCGACGTTGAGAGTAGTGGAGACGAAAAGGGCAAGCACAATGCAACTGGGGCACCTCTCACAGAGGCGAAGTCTGCTTCACAAGTACCATGGACGTTGACGAGGGTTGTGGCTGTCGTGTCACTTTGTCTGGTCTATGTTGGTGAGTAGACTTGGCTTGGTCATCTACAATTCAGCTGCTGACTTGGCTTTGCAGGTGCTCAGTCGATTCTTTACATGACAGGCGGCACACTCAACTACATCGGAGCGAGCATCGGTACCAAGTATCCTAATTGGCTGCTGACTGCAAATACTCTTGCTGTTACGTATGTTTCCCTCCTGCATGGACGACTTTCACTCGTTAACAATGTGGTAGTGCTATATGCCCCTTTGTAGGGTATATCAGTGATCTTCTAGGGAGGCGATACGTGACCATCTTCGGCTCTCTGCTACTGATTGTCGCCAGTGTTGTGCAAGCAACTTCCAAATCACTGGGCTCCTCTGTCACTGCACAAGCTCTGGGTGGTATTGGCGCCGGCATATGCGAACTGACGGCTTTGGCTGGTGTTGCCGAGATCACTGTAAGCGGCTTCTCATATTCTTCATCAACATTTATGCTGACCAGGCGTCCAGCCCGTTCGGTATCGCGGAGTGACGCTCTCGGTCGTCACATTCAGCATTCTACCATTCATCCCATACATCCTCTACATTGAAGAGCTCCACGCACACTCCACCTGGCGCTGGGCACTCGGCATTGCTGCCATCTGGAACGGTATCGGCACGATCGGTATCATCCTCTGCTACCATCCACCGCCACGTCATATGGTCGATGATCTATCGAGAATGGACATCTTGAAGCGCATTGACTGGGGCGGTGCTTTCTTGAGCATCAGCGGAGTCACGCTGTTTCTCGTAGGTCTTCAGTATGGCGGCTACCAGGCGCCCTGGACGAGCGCTACTACTCTTGCACCACTGATCATTGGCATTCTCCTCATCGTCGCATTCTGCGTGTACGAGGCGTTCATCCCAAAATTCCCGATGGTGCCTGCGGCAATTTTCAAAGGCCAGCGCGTTGTGCTGATGTCGTACATCATAGTCTTCATTGCGGGTATGAACCATGCACTCTTCTCTGAAGCATTCACCAACAAGCTCATCAACTAATCTTGTAAATAGGTATGGAATTCTACTCAATTCTTGGCTTTTTCCCTCTGATGCTGCAGAACGTCTGGCCAGCAAGCCCTGAACAGGTACATCACTACTTTTTCATATTCACCATTGTATGTACTGACTCATTGCAGACTGGCCTCCGCGGCTTCTGGTATCCTCTTGCTATCTTGATCGGGGCCTGTCTAGTCAGTGCCGGCATCACATACAGCCGCGGCCGCGTCGCCTGGATGTTCGTAACCTGCTCCGTACTTATGACTGCCTTCTGCGGCTCGCTTGCTTCGGCCACGCCCTTCAACATGCCGCGGTCCGTAGCATTCGCCACCCTTGGCTCGCTCGGTATTGGAGGTGTGATTGTGCCTTGCCTGACCGTCGCCCTCTATTGCTGTAAGTCTCTTGTAGCGCCCAGTACCCTCCTATTTAGCTCACACATCATTCCAGGCCCTGACGCATATATCGGCACCACGGCCGCACTATCCCTCGCCGTGCGCTTCCTCGGTGGCTCCGTCGGCACGACCATCTACTACAACATCTTCAACACCTCTTTCATGACCAACGTACCCAAACTCATCGCCCCGGCCGTCGTCGCAGCAGGGTTGCCAGTCGACTCTGTCGAGGCCTTCATCGGTGCCCTCTTCACCGATCCAACATCCGCGCTCACAATCCCCGGAGTTACGATGGAGATTCTGCAGGTTGGCGGGCTGCAGGCGCGTTGGGCATTTACGGAGAGCTTGAAAGGGGTGTGGTATGCGAGTATTGCGTTTGGAGCGGTGAGCATTGTTGCGAGTTGCTTCTTGCCGAATATCAAGAGGTTTATGACGAATCGCGTGGCTGTTGATATTCATTGAGATGATTTTCAGGGGAGGGTTTATGAGGATTGGTATGGAGATGGACTTGAATAGTAATGTGATAATGTCTGAGTCAGAGTATGGTTGTGTGCTGTGATCCGTGGAATGTGTGTGTGCGTAATATGTGTTGTGCTCGTGGGCATTGTGAGATGACGGTGAGCTGGGGAGTTGTTAACGTGATAAGCTTTTGATTATTGGCATTATACTGGCAGGTCTTTGCACGATGCGCCTTGCCCATAGTCCAGTGGTCTTGCAAGGAGAGTGGTAGTCCATTTAAAGGCACTGACTTGCAATTGTTAGAGCGGAATGACAGTGAGATCACGTCGTCGGCTAGGCGACAACACTGAAAAAGCTGCGTATGCAATGTAGAGACCCGCTTGCGCGCTAGGCAGGGTGACAATAGGCATTGTTTGAGTGCCATGTTGACACGCGAATTTCACCGACCATACCCCTGTCGAAAATCCCTATTGCAAACAAGAGAACTCAAGAGAATATTTGTAGTGACCATGCCTTTCCGTCTCAGCTACATATAGCTTTACGCATTCTCTACGATCTACTCTTCTACTCTCCAAATGAATTTTCATTCGACTACGTGAAAAAATAGCTCCTACTGACTCTCTCACTTCAACGCGTTTTTCAAATCTAATCAAGTATGCAAACATGCCTCACCTCCTCTTCTCCCTGATTGTCACCGGTATACTCATCCCATTACTCGCCCCCTTCGTACGTCCCTACATGCCCGCATTCCGAAGCGCCAGCTACATCACCATGCATTTCGACAGCGACACATGCACCACAGCACAGACTATCAAAGTCGACCACGCCATCCACGACGTCCAAGCAATCACCCGCCAAGCCCTGAAAGATCTCGATCTTATCGAGCCATTTCTCGGCGACACAAATCGCCTGGACGCGCGAATGCGCGAGAAGGGTCCTCAGGGGGAGAACTACCGCCGCCTTATATACACCTATGAAATGCTCTTCGGAATTATAGATGGCAGAACTTCCCGGTCTGTCCTCAAGGCTCGCTTTGATAAGGTCACTGCCCTAGCACAAACTTCAGGAGTGTGTTTGACTGACATTCATCTCTCACCACAGATCCGCCACGTATACAGCACCTTTAGCAACATCCGCAATCTCGACCTCCCAATCTACTGTAACGACGACCCGCTGCTCGCCGCACCACACTATGGCTGCCAACAAGCACACGACGGCGCAGGCCGCTACGTTGCCGCATACATCCAGCAACGCCACATCGACCTCGACGTCCTCCGCATATTCAAAGACGAAATCATAGTTATATGTACGTCCCCTCCCCCCCCTGCCCCTCTTCCCTAATCTATCCTCCCTCTCCTCCCAAAACACAAACCCACTAACCCACCCCCAAAAGGCCCATCCTGGTTCACAACCGTCAGCAACACATCCCTCCCCACCATCCTCACAACCACCTTCCCGGTCCCCCACACCACCCTCGACGCCCACCCCCCACCCACAAACCCGCCTCTAATCCGCCACCTCGACGACATCCGCACCATCCTCCCCGCCTTCGCCCTCCTGCACGAGCTCACGCATACCCGCGCCGTCATGGGCCCCCACAATGCTGCTACCGACGAGCGAGGCGAGGACGGTGGGCTAGCGTATGGCTGGGATAAGGCGATGATGCTGGGGTCGCGGCGGCCGGAGAGCGCGCTGCGGAATGCGGATTCGTTGGCGTTGTTTGCGGTTTCTGTGGCGTTAAGGGGGAATGATTGGTCGATGGGGAGGGCGAGGCCGGCGGAGGTGCCGGCGGAGTGGGAGGTTGAGTGAGGGGATAGGGAATGAGTGGGGGTCTTGAGGGGAGGGGGGGATAGGGGGTGGGTGGGAATTGTGTGAGATCAGAGAATATAGCTTGGGTGTTTCTGTAATAGCTGTATAGAGACTGTTTCGTGCTTTCTACGATTCGTGATACTTGTTATGTCGTATATGGCGTCAGTCAAAGGACCATTCTTATTCTCGTACTAGAGCTATAAATGGAAATCCAGGGGTTCCAGGCCTCCTAGAGAATTATTCTATAAATATCACTAAATAATTATATAGCTGCAACGATTAGATACGATTGTCGTCAAAACAAGATCTATGCAATAGTTACTTTTAGAGTAATATTTTCTGGTTTCGCTAACGAAGTAGACGACGATATAATATGGGTAGGTTCTATACTTTTATAACTTTATTGACTTTAGTAGGGCCAACAGCAGATCTACATATAATAATATATCTATCTAGAATAGAAAATAGAGATTTATCTATAGTACTGCTATTTATACTTATTAATTTGCCCTTGTGAAATTTCACTGTGATTTTAGCCTTCGCAACTGCCTCCTTAATCTCCTAAGAAGACTCGATAAAGTTGTCAAGGTCACTGTCAATCTCTCGATTGGCCTCCTCTGTAGAATCTGTGGATTTGAAACACGAGCAGGGAAATCAATAATGCCTCCAGCACCGCACAAAAAGCAAGATTGCAGCCCAGAGTTGTTTCATCGCCCCAGATTCCCACCACAACCGCACCCACATGCGCGACCGCAAGCTGAGCAACGCAAGTCCGGGCAGTACCTTTATACCATGGGCAATCTTAGCGGTAAGCCTGACTGGCCGGCCTGTCTGATGAGTGTCAGTGCCAGAATCAACTGAATTAATCTGTATCTACGACCGATACGCGGTACGTACTTTCGCTCTAGAAGCAATTCGCGATGTCCGAGACTGTTGGTCGGCAGGATAGCTATTTGTAAAGCCCGACAATCGGGGCTTTGAACAGATCGTTGTACGACAACACTGTGTGCGCGGTCGTATCGCTTTGGCTGATGCTGTCGAGTGAAATGTGATCCTGAGAGCGGACCTTAGGGACCTCGCGCTGTATCAGTACTATTAGCGAGTCGACACTCTCCCGTAGCGCTGGTAGATGGTGTGTCGCCTAGTTCATCCGGGTAGTGCTGGACGTAGACTATGCCGAGCCATTGACTTCGTATGCCCGTGGTCGGTCTGTACGGGTACCCATCTCATGACAGGAACGGAAATGGCTATTTAATATATAGGAAGACGCGAAGAGACGCCCGTCAGAGTCTTGGCTTTGGGAAACTTCGCTTGCGACGAATTCTATGATTGATGGGGCAGCGGCCGCTGAGGGGGAGGAGGATGGTATATCGTGTGATTGCTACCACGGGTTTAAAAGGGTGCTTGGGCATTACGATATCTTGTGCGGCTCGTGTTTGAAGTTGGGTGTGACTGAGGTCGAGGCCTAGGGAATTTACTGTTGACGGCTTGAGATGGGAGGGGTCTTGACAAGGTCAAAGGAGAGGTTATGTAATACAGTAAAGATGAGTTGAGTCAGAGACCAAGTAAGATGACTAACCCCAAACCTAATACCGAGGAATCTCAGTTAAGACTAAGAAAACCCGAGGAGTTCTAGATGGCGCCGTTATAGAAACATAGGTAATTGTAAAATATATATATGATCGTTATTCATCGGCTCTCAGGACCCATCCGGCTCCGATAAACTGTGGCTCTTGTATCAGCTTATAACCCGTCTTTTCTAAGAGTGCCAAAATACAATAAAACACTATATAGTATTAGTGGTCGCCTACAGGTTTAATAATAATTCAACCTACCGTAACTATCTATATTACTAAGTGCTTCAGCCCTAGATAACGCTAAAGCATCACGCCATGCTGTGGCTATCTCCAAAGCTATAATACTCTTTTAGTATCTGTGAAGACAGATGAACGAATGCACGGGGGGTGTGACTTACCGTCGGGATATACAGCATCTAGTAGTATGGCCACGAATAGAGGAGTTAAACAGGCGTACCGAATTGCGTCCATTTGTGTATGCCTGAAGGTCACATCTTGAGGCGGATCTTTGAGTGTAAAAAAACGACTCGTAGGCCAGAATTCCCCGCACCATGTGATGGTGAGCTGCATTGGGAGCTCAGGGGATCTTTGGGGCCTCCGTGAGATCCGATAAACAATATTCGATTCGGCGCAAGGTTTCTCATTCAGATATACATCGTTGATGGGATCGAACGCGACTGGTTCGCCCGGAGAGTGGTCTTCAGGAACTTGATCCGGGGTGAGCTGATCATCTGGTAACATTTCCCAGTGGTTGTCGTCACAGAAAATTCGAATGTCTGCAGTTGTCCAGGAGGCCTCTGTCAAATCGCCTACCAATCCTAATACTTCAGATGCCTTGTTCCGAGCTTCCGAGTCATATCCATAGAAGATGACTGTGAAAGAAGCCTTTAGATGATCTGGAATGTTCCATAAGGAAATGCCCTCTCTAGCCAGCCTAGTCATATGTAGAGCTTCCTCGAAGATAGGGCGGACTGGATAGTTCATACATTCTGGATAAAAGCCATACGTTATATCAGCCAGAGCTAGAGAAAGTAATCCCCCAAAGAGCGTCAGAGAGAGTGGAAGAGAGAGCATTATAACAAAAAATGATTAAAGTAGAGGTACCAGCTTTAGACGAACATAGAGCGAGGGTACATAGATAATAGTCATGAATGGAAAGAAGAAATCAAAGGATATTTATTAAGAACGCAATAGTATGTCATTAATCACTAGTCCTGTTTAGGCAACTGGGACCTTCTACAGATCTCCTTCGCATAGGATTCGCCTACTTCCATATACATGTATATCTATCAAACATCTAGAATCCTGGCACGTATGCACGAGCGTAGCTATCTCGACTCTAGTCTTATATCCTGTTGCACTATACCCAACATTTATAACCTATAATATACACGGAGAATACGTTTTCCTTGGTGCACGTGCTCGATACTCCGGACTTCCATTATATACGGGATTCTATGTGAATTGTTCTAGTAATTAGCTTAGCGAACTTGAAGGTATTTCTTTTAAAGGATTCTAATTTTAATTATGTAAAGATATAAAACATGCACGGCTGCATGACGCACGGCCGCGTGGCGAAAATTAAAATAAAGCACCGGGAATGAATTGTATAGCGAGTGTAACTTTAAATAAGTCTGGCTCACGACTCAGAAACTCGTCCACGCCCTCTAATGCATTGATCAAATTGGGGCAATTGCCATCGACCTTCATTGATCAGACTGCCTCTAAGGAATCCTGGACGGCCCGACAACAGGGTACTGGACACATATCGATCTAGCATGCAAACGAAGACCTCAAGACGAGTTAATGTAGCAGAGCATTCTACTGAGCGGAAACAAGGAATCGGCTTCTCCGCACCTAAATCAGTGGTACAAGAAAGGAAAGAAGCTCTCCAACTATCAATAGTGAAGATGAAAGAAACGTAGTGTGAGAGAAAATTTGTCACTGGTTGGGTTCGATGTCGAAAGTGCATACAATGGAGTACCTTGGGAGTGCTCACAAGAATGAAAGACATCACTTTTAGGATCGTTAGGTGAGGGGGTCTGATCTGTTTTTACCAAGACGCAACATTCGTGGTAAATGGCTTCTTAGATACCGGTATTCTGGGCCGACCTGATAAAATACCGCGGCGCGCTCGAGTTCGCAGAAGACGACACGCGATGGATGGATAGAGCAGGCCGTGAGCGTGCTACATGCAACACGTGGTATAACGGAAGTTCTAGAGGCTCTTCAGGGTGCGGCAACGAATGGCGTGATTCTCGGAAGAGACCAAACAACGTTGATGCCTCTTACTCACATCCATATACGTAGCTAAGGAAAGAGGATGCACTCCAGGTCTTGGCGTTGACTTGGTTACGAGCTATGGCAGCTGTATAGTCCCAGCAATGTCGACTAACAAGACCGTAGAAGTCCGTCAGTTGTAGTACGTGCTCCTGCGGGGATTTCGAGTCAGCAGAGAATGAGCGCATAGAGCGGCCGAAGAAGCGAACGCTAAGGTGGAGTCTGCCAAGCTATCAATCCATGCTGAGCGGCATTTTTCTGTGACCATAAGTAACATGGAGGGTAATTAGCAACGCGAATAGCATGACTTAGCTAGAAAAATATACAAAATACCCATTAGAAAAGTACTATATACTTTAAATACCTTTTCGATTATTGGTGGGCCAGGCTAGAAATCGATAGTAAGTAGATTTTGGGGCGTGCTTACAAAGGTCATGGACAATGCCGTCCGAGAGGTCTTCTATAGGAGGAGTAGTAGTAATTAGTAAAGGCAGACATACTTATTTTTAGAGTCGGCGTACTAGGTAAGGAATGTATAGCTTATGTTAGTAGTCTTCGGATGCTCTAACTGGTTATAGACTAGTGTACTCCGGCGTAGTTGTAAAAAAAGCCTGAAATGTTTTGCACTCATTGTCAGGCACGTGGCCTGCCAGTTGATTCTACATGTGTGTAGCAGTCGTATATAAGCAGTGTGCTCTACCCTTGAAGCAGTAGCTTCAAGATTTGGTCCTTTTGGTGTAGATCGTTGGTGCGTGGAGCCCGCCACCTTACACTCATATGCACAGTGTCAAGTCCACGTCAACCACTAACAGACAGTCGACGTAGTAACATCCGGCCGTCATTCGTAAACTCCGAGCTCCGTGACCTGAATTATACTAGTCGAGACGACTGTATCACTGTATCGATCGTAGCCGCGGAGTCCAGACTATTAAACTAACAAACTTGAGGTTATAAGAGCATTTATTGATTTATTAATTGATTGATTGAAGTTTCAAGAGTTAAGAGAGAGAGAGAGCGAATTTTACAGAAGGCGAAGTATTCAACAGTCGTGTTATTAGTCCGTTGAGACAGAAGTACCACTATATTCTTACTTCCTTCTAAACGAACATTAACTTATTTTAAATAGAGCTTAGCCTTTAACACATCCATCGTTTTTCTAGTACCTAGGTTATTAAGCACTTATAAAAACGCGTTCTCTACCCTATCTTTCTATCTAGAGCCTTTACTACTCTTATATCTAGTCTAAGTATATAAGAACTTCAAAAGTAAATAAACTAAGTAATTAGATATATAATTCTTCTATAGATTTATTTTATTCTTATAAAGTTTCTCTCGAGAGATAGGGAAGAGGCTTAATAAATTCTTAAAAGCTCTTAGAAGAGAGCTATTCGAAGAACATGTTAGGTTCTAGAAAGTCTATCTTCTTTTTCTTCTCTAAGAAAATAAGCTCTCTTACTATAGAGTATAGTAGAGGGTATAGAGCTTAGAAGGTATATAGAGTAGAATTAATTATCTTATTCTACTCTATAAGTCTATATAGATATTCTATTATATAGACTTATATATAGAGGTAGAGAGGTAGAATAACTATTTAATGGGTGTATATAAACACATGCGTGGAACTGAAAAATGATAAGCGACTTATGTTCTAGGAAAATGACGTATTACTATGAACTTGATTTATTACGAAGAGAACATGTCGTCTTCATGGCTTACGTAGTTATAATAGAGTGGTATGTCAAATGCTAAGCAACAAGATAGGAATCGTATATAGTAGTGTGGTGATGATACTTATCATGGATGAAAGGACTGATGCTCCGCTTCATAGGCGATGGTAAGTTGCTTGGCTTATCTTAACTTTGGAGCTTTTAATGTATATGCAATTGAGGTTAAAGTAGTAACAGCCTCTTGGACACATTTATTCCGCGAACATAAGCGACTACAGGGTAGCAACGATAGCAGCGATATCTAATAACTTCAAGACCAGTAGAAGTGCTACATATCTAGAATTCTGTCTGTTTAAAATATCTTATTATTGATGTGGTGGCATGGAATTATAGTTGGAATCGTTTCAGTAGTGGTTTCGTCTGTTTGCGGAATGTGGAAGATGATCTTATCGAAGGAAGGTGTTATCCCTAGTTCTATACAACTTGATCCTATAATGCTAACCCGTAGCAAAGGACGGACATATAATCGTAACAGACCTCGTACTCGACGTGACATACTAAGCAAATTAAGTACAGCTATTAGCTTTTCGATGTAGATCGTACGTATTACTTTCGAACACGCTTTATACATTTGAAATCTCCAAGTCAATCTACACCATCTACGTATACATCCCTCCACATACCCACCAGTGTCGTATGAAACTAGTGGTTTTGTAGATCCTTAAGAGCCTAAATTATCATAGTTGTCCCTGTCCATATTCAAACGTCAATAAAATCGTTCCGCTCTAGACAAGCTTCTCCGAATGCGTTCGCCAGAGTAAACGCAGTCGCCCTTCTTCGTTCTCCGCCCGCTTCGGGTTTAGAGAAGGCCGATCCGAGAGACGTTCTGCTGGAGAACTCCCGACCCGACGCCGAGACTCCACTCGCGCCTCGCAGGCAATCCGCTGTCTTGGGTCCAAGCGGCTCGGCAGCGGGATTGATATCCACTCTCGATTGAGGCTTCTCCGGAGGCACACATAAAGCTCCTTGGTCTTGATGACAGCCGTGGCAGGGTTCGAGGCGATATGCTCGGTGAATGTAAATAGAGTTTGTACAGACTGGCCTTTGGCGTCACGCCACACCACCTGGTTCCACGGTCGACGGGCGTGTTACAAAGTTATACATATGTGATCGTATCCGCTCGTATCTATAGTACCTCTTGTAACGGATACGTAGAGAGGATAATGATGGATTGTTCGTTACTTTTTACAAACTTTGTATAGAAGGATGGCACGAGGTAATCGTCCAATGACATCTATAGTATACGGTGACAAGATTACCCAAGAAGACCTACACAATTGGTAGGCTGTATGGTCGCATTGCAGGGTGCACATTTGGCGCATGTTGCAATGTCGCATGGCTGTCAAGGACATCGTTTCCTGCAAAAAGTTTGCAAGTGGAGCCAGGTCCGCATTCCCAACAGTAAGCGACTTCACCTATTAGGCCTAAAGCGGGGTAGCGTTGTCGATTAAGGTATACCGAGGCCGAGGCTTATTGGAAGCGAGGGGACGTGCAGATATTGGGCCTGCCACAGTTATACAGTCAAGGAGATCGATCATTATAGAGATACTTTCAGGGGAGTATCAATACCTACCTGAATGGCATCGGGCTGATTAGATTGGAAGATCGAAATTCGAGTCACAAAGAATCGCTTTTGCACAGTACTAGCCTGCCCAACGTTAGCCTAAACCTATAACCTTGAACGCTGGACTTTGTTTGGAATCAGCTGGTCTGGTGATAAATTTGTGCAGACAGTGGGAGGGAACAGCACGTAATGCCCTAGTCGAAATCCTGGCCTATGACTAAGCGGGCTGAGAGAGTTATACCTGAATAAGGTACTTCTTCAATAGTCTTAAAGATGACGCGGCCTACAAGAGGTCTTAATTAGTGGGAACATGCTCGAGTTTCGCGACAGGTGGCGTAGTGCTCTCTCGTAGTGGTCGGCCCACAAGGCTTGGAAGAGTGAAAAGCTTGAACGAACCCCAACAGCCAAGTCTCCCAAGAACAATTCCACAAGTTGCGGCTTGCAGACGGCGCCTAAGAAGCGGCAAGCGTCTGCTGGGATTGTGACAAAGAGCAGTGTGCAGGTCTGTCGCCCCTGGGACCTCTTCCAGCGTCAAAGGTCGTTGATAAAGGCTGTTACCGTGTCAGCGCTGGTGAAGATGAGAGGCATTTAATGCGTAAGCATTTGATAGAGCTGCTAAACGGAAGAGGACCTGCATCTAGACCAGCTGGAACAGTTCAGTGATCTGCAGGCGTCTAACACGAGCTTTGTCATCAGCCAGAGACCGCGTATGCGGACATTTTGATCATACTCTTTCCTGAGGTATGGTGATGTGACTCGGCGGAGCCAGGCAAGGTCCTTGGAGTGTTTTGCGGTCGACTAGGTTCACTAGAATATCATATCAAATGCTGGAGCCAAACTTGGAGAATACGCTTGTTGGATCTACAGGCCGGCGGCGAATAGTCTTGGCCTCGACTCGTCCAATCTGAAGAAGAGAATGATTAGTTGCACATTATAAGTTCTTGAAAAATACGGCCGTGCAGTGCGAAGCCAGGGTCAAGCTGGGCTTTATCGTGTTAACGTGCAGAGTGCAGAGTGCAGAGTGCAGTGCATGTAAGCGAAATGCCGGGGCGACAATGACGATCGGCAGCGGTGTCCAATGAAAGGGGCATTGTGTATCACCATTTGTTGATTTGTTGACAGTCGCACCCCAATCCCTCACGGAATATAGATCTGGTCCCGAAGCTGTGGTGAGAAGGGTCTGTGCAGACGCCGAGAGGAGCCCAGAGGATTTGCGCAGTTGTCATCATCATCATCACTTCCAACTTCCAACGCTCGGACCACCCTATCCCAATTCCCATCCCAATGTGTGTTTTGCCGTGTCATACTCACTACGTACGTACTTTGGTGATCATGGTCGCGCGCAACACCGCAAGATACCTTTTTTCCATACGTAGATCTGGACCATGTGGCTTTGCGCGTCTCTCTCGCTCTATATATATTATGTGACTACACAAGATGCCCGGGAATTGCACTCGGAGATAGTCTTCACTATCTCCACCCCCGACTTCTATCTCAACCATTTAGTTCACAGCTAGGAGCGAGGCTTCATTCCTCTCCTCTCCACTGGAGAGCTCCCTGACACATCCCGCTCCACCCAAGCCTTTTACTACTGGGATTTCCTCTCCACACCCTCCTTGGCTGTTCACGGGCGGACGGTGTCCCTTCTGCTGACTCAACCAGACGACAATTCCACCTATTCATATCTCCGTGCTCTATCCACTTCCCTGTCTTCCCCACCTTCCCCCTCGCTCTCAGCTCTGTCATGGAAGCATCGTCCGCTGAACCTTTCGACCAGACCACCACCAGCGCCTCTCACTCAGGCGCTGCATGGAACACATCCGCGACGAATGATCACGACAGCGACTCCGACGATCACAGCTCCCCACTGGCTGATAATGGCGACCAGACTGCTCCAAAAGTGCCGATGCAGAAGAGAAGACGTGTGACAAGAGCCTGTGACGAATGTCGCAGGAAGAAGATTAAATGTGACGGCAAGCAGCCGTGTACGCATTGTACAGTCTATAGCTATGGTTCGCAAATCTCCCACAGAACGACTTCGCTTGCAAAGGTGCTCACACAAATCAGAATGTACATATGATCAACCCTCGAACCGGCGTCGCAATGCTCAACCCCAATATATTGAAGCTCTCGAAAACGAATTGAAGCGTGCAAAGGCTGTAATTGGTGCTCTTCTACCCAATCTACCCATCGACCTCAAAGATCCGAATCTTGAACAGAAGCTTCAGGCCGGCATGCTGTCTCACATGAGTCAAGCAGGCGCACATAGCAATACCGTGATTGGACAAGGAAACGGGTTTCGAGCTGACACGGAAGAAGGAGTAGACTCAGGTCGCCTTGAATCTATGGTCAAAGCTACCGGCAACCTTGACTTGGACGAGCAAGGTTACTGGGATTACCACGGTGGATCTTCAGGTCTCACCTTCATACGACGGATGCGCGAGCAACTAGGGGACATTATAGGTCCAGAGGGACAGGGTACACCATTCGTAAAATCACGACCATTATCAACCGTCTTCGATTCTCCCAAGTCGTCCGAATCGCCGCTTGACTCCAATGCGCCTCACCACGGACTCGATGTCGTAGACCTTCCCCCTCGGGAGGAAGCGTGGAAGCTTTGCCAGCTCGCTATCATCGACGCTACTGCCATCATTCGCTTCGTCCACATGCCATCATTTAAACAGTCCTTTGACAGAATATACGACAATACCCACGACAACTATAGCCACGACGATCACACTTTCTTACCTCTACTGTACGCAGCTCTTGCCGTTGGCACGCTGTTCAGTAAGGATGATGGTGAACTGGACAAGTTGGGATATGAGAGTGCGATTGACAAAGGGTGAGTATCTGCGGGTCTGACCTAGGGAGGCGGCTGACGTCAATATGCAGCTTTAAGTACTTCCAGGCCTCACGAAAATTATTAGATATTGCTGAATGCAGGGATATCCCGTCCATTCAGGCCGTCATCTTTATGATCCTATTTCTGCAAAGCTCTGCGAAGCTATCGACATGCTACTCTTATATAGGTGTTGCGATACGATCTGCTCTTCGTCTAGGTCTGCATCGTTCATTCAACGCAAAGTTCAATTGTATCGAACAGGAGCTGCGCAAACGAATCTTCTGGGTTATTCGAAAAATCGATCTCTACGTTGGTGCACTTATAGGTCTACCTTATACCCTCAATGACGAGGATATAGACCAGGACTTTCCTTCAGAGGTCGATGACGAATACATCACAAAGGAAGAGATCCGACCGTTTCCAGCCGGGAAAACCTCCGTGATGACTGCCTTCAATCATCATGCTAAATTGATGATCATCATAGGTCGCGTGGTCCGTGCAATATATCCTATCAAGGGCACCACCTCAGCAGAAACAGGTCTTACTGGCCAAAATTATACTGTGAGCTTAACGACTATCCGCGACATTGAGCAACAGCTAGAGCAATGGAGGAGCTCCCTTCCGTCGGGTCTTCGTCCTGGCGGCGATGATAATCGTATCATTTTTCGGTATGGTTTCTGCACACGTCAGATCATCTTGAGGGCTAAACGTGAACAGATGTCAGCATATGTTACGACTAGTTTATGCGCATGCGCAGATGATGCTGTACCGACCATTCCTTCACTACGTATGCGATCAATACCGGTCCAAAGATATTGACCCACGAGCTTACGCATGCGCTGTTGCCTGTGTCAGCGTTGCGCGAAACGCTGTCCACATCGCTGTAGAGATGAAGGCTCGGCATCTGTTGGCTGGCGCCTACTGGTCTACAATGTATACGACATACTTCTCGATCATGTCGTTGATGTTTTTCGTTCTCCAAAACCCTGATGATCCCACGAGTCGCCAAGTACTGCGAGACGCGCAGGCCGGGAAGGATACGCTTTCGCAATTGGCGAAGAGAAGTCTAGCTGCAGATCGATGCTCAGTCACTTTAGCGGTAAGCCAAACGTAAGAGACTATGTTGATCCATCGAGCTAATGGTAATTAGACCGTTTTCGAGCAAGTCCCGGAGCACCTTCGTAAGGCCCGTATACCACCCCTGACTCACAAGAAAAGACCTCATCAGCCTCGGCCTAATCCCCTTACTTCTTCTCAGCCAGACTTGAGTGTAAGCACTAAGAGCTCTGTTTTCAAGCCTCGTCGCGCTTCTACATGTCCTGATAACATTTCTAATCCATTCAAGACTACAAATCCTTACAATTCGCATCTGGTACAACAGCAGATACCTCTTGGTATGGAATACCAAATTTCGCCACAACGTTCCAGCTTTGAGCCAACACCTGGTATGACCCCCTCATCGGCATCATCAGCAAGTTTCAATCGACCTCTATCTGAGCAATTTCCTGGAACGCCTGTCATTAATGGTTTTGCCACCACCTCGGAATTCGGACCACCCGTCACAGACATGAGCGCCATGATGTTTCCGTCCGCTGATCCATTCGCGTACCCCAACCAACCAATGACAACGTTCGAGAATAACAGTCAACCATTCGGAAACCAGTCTGAACAGGATTTGAAAAATATAACTTTCATGGATACGTCTGGACAGTCTCTGAACGACTCTCTGATGAACGGAAATCAGGGCCAAATGGTTTACGAGAGTACCGGTATACAAGATGATGTACAACTCTTCGGCACAGTGCCAATGTACATGCTTCAGAACTCCGCCACACATGCCCAGTCGTTCACGCAAAATCCGAATCCTCACCAGTTCCCTGTGATAGGGACACAATCCAGCCCAATGAGCGTCAATTTAGCCATGGACGGTCCTGACTTCATTGGTGATGAATGGTCGATGCCATACATGCACCAGGGCGGATACCAGTATGGCAATACGGACAGCTCGAACACTGGATTGTGAAACTAACGAGACGATGACGGGAGGCACATGAGAGATAGTCGAAGGATTTGGCAATATATATTTACGTGCAGTCTGGTACTGTAGACGTTGTACCTCTGGCAGGACAGCAGCATGCAATACGAGTCATCTCAGTATTCGTTTTTGACATATACCGGCGTTTCAGATCGGGCGTTTGGTATAGAGGGAAAAAAAAACCTAACAAGGACCTTCAATGGGTTTCTGCGGCGTTACTAGGACTGGGTGCAATACGCTGGCTTTTTATTACTCACAGGGGCGTGATACCCTAGTTCATCGGATTGTCCTGGAGCTTCGCACCGTTATTCTCACGACTGTTTTACATGATAATGTATGTATGTATGCACGGCATGGCATGGCATGGTTTACTCTTGGATAGGCATAAGCATGTCCTTGGAGTTGGTTTCTTCGCGAAACAAATGTCAAAATACCATATCTTGACAACTTTGAGTGTCTGCATGTTATCATGCTACCAATGCACTAACTCCCATGAGTGAGTGCCATTATGACATGACTGCGCTTGTTGATATATATATGTGCTGTCACGTAGCCGTTATAACTGTTGTGCATGATGATGACTGATGATGAAATGACCTAGTAAGTAAAACCTGTGGACATATGCAGACTGTTTCGATATCACAGTTGTCATAGATCCCCCTTCCAAGACAAGACAGGGAAGGGACACTTCATACTCTAACAAACACGAATCGCCGCTCAAATGCGCATTTCAATCCAGATTAGGGTATATTCGTCAGTGTCCGACACCCGAGGCGGTAGTTGGACTTGACTGTATTGGAATGAAAGATTAAGATGGATTGGAGATGTGGCAGGTTGAGTTGCAGGTCTCGCGAAGGATGCGTGGATAATTCGAGCTCAGTTGCGGGATGTGTGCAGCGGTGCGGTTCACGGTTCCTGGGCGTCAAGTCAAAATCGAGGTTTCTGTTCTCTGTTTGGAGATATGTTTATTTATTTTTCTTTCTGACGATCCTATGAGTAGTATACATGTGGGAGGTCCAGACGGGATATGGATATCAAGATCTAGTGTGTAGTTGTTTTTCCTACACAGACCCTCGAGGAGTGCACACTCGCGCAAGGACATTCACACGTACGACACCACACCACCATGCACACTCAAGCCGATCCTTTCCATCTCCCTATTACAGCTCCCGCAATACTCTTCGTACCATGGTTGGATCGCATCGGCTTCGCTGCTGCTGCTGCTGCCGTCGCCGCCATCCCCGTCCGTGCCGTTAAGCACAGAGGCAAGCATACCTCCCACGCGCTGACAGCGGCCCGTCTCATCAACAAGCCAGTCCTCATATTCCGCCTGCAAAACCTCCGACTCGACGCGGTTGACGAGACGGAGCGCAACGAGGAGGTCATGGCGATATGTGCCGAGGCGCAGACGTGAGCGCTGCAGCCGGTGCTTGGTGATGGACTGGGTGGAGCTTGCGTCAAAGGGCGAGAGCGAAGAGGGCTCGGGATCGACGAGGAGGTCATGGAATGCGGTGCGGCATTTACTTGAGCTGTTGTGCCCGTCTGCTTCTTGGAATGCTGTGATGTTTGTGAATTTGTTGAGGTCGTGCATGTATACTGCGCGTGACATGTACATGTTTGGGCCGACGCCAATGCGGGCCATGAATTTGCCTGCGGCGCGCTCCCGCCACCATGTGAAGGTGTCGCGTTGTGTGAAGAACATGTTGAAAGCGATGCTGAGCAGGAGCAGGCCTGTGAGCATGGAATGCGCTGTGCAGGCTTCGAGAATGGAGGATGCTACGGACATGAGACCGTTGGCGACGACAAGAATGCCTGCTATGAAGTAGTGGCGAGCACAACTAATGGTCATGCCGGGTAGAGTGCGGACTTTGAGGACAAATTTGCGGTCCTTGATGGCAGACGGAATCTCAGAGGGTACGAACTGAGTGGCGGTGTTTTGCTGGCCGATGCTGCCAAATATCTGAATGGCTTTTCGGGTTCTTGCAGTGCTTCCTAGCTTGTTGACTTGATCAGTGATGACATCGATGAGATCCAAAGCGGAGAGCTCCATGTCTTTCAAAGCTTGGCGATCGATGAGTGCTGTATAGACATTAGCGAACGTCTAGGAAGACCGGTGTTTGACTTACGTCTGAAGATGGAACCTTTGGGGTTCCACTCTGTCTTGATGAAGATTGCCAGTTTACATTGAGACTTGGCCACGTGCGTCAACACAATCTTGCTAACCATCGTGAATCTACCTGACAGAGGCAGATACCAGGGAGATTTCTTGTCCACAACCACGTAGCATAGATGATCATTGAAGACTTCGATGACTTGACAGTCCGTTATATGCGTCGGAGGATTCGTGTCTTCGACGTCATATGCGAAATCTCGACGTTGAGGCTGTTGCTCTGTCTGTACCCACGGGCCTTGGACAACCGTTTTTGCGAATCTGTCCTTGTAAACCATCTGAAAGACTGCACTCTTGTCACCGAACAATACATGAAACAGTGACTTTGCACTGATATCGTACACCTTCTCCACCGCCTGCTCAGTCATTCCTATCGGCGTGTATATCACGGGCTGTGAGGGCAATTTGAATTTTGACGCGCTTCGGCCAACACCAGAACCTTGGCCGTTCTCGAACAAATTGCCATCAATTCTAAGTCTCGTTTTCAGATCCTGAAGACGCCGATTCGTAGGTCCATCAACAGGAGTGTTGATCGACACATCTTCCCAGCTGTCATGGTCTGGCTCATCGCCATTGGAGTCGTGCATCTCAAACCTGATCAATTTCCTGAGAACGTCTTCAATTGACTCGGGCTGCACTGAATTGGCATTTTGTACTAAGAAATCCAACCGCTTCTGTAGGAGTCTCAGGGGCTCCAGGAAAGTCTTTATGGTCAAGCGAACAGCACCATTCTGCCGAGCCGCATCCTTGAAATGAAGATAGAGAAAATCGCAGTCTTTCCCTGGTGCTCCTGTCACCTCGTCGATCGTTGTGAGGTTGACGCCGGTGATGAGAATAAGCCCAAGGTGATTGCTGTAGAAATATATCTCCTTTGTTGTTACGTAGACTCGACCGGGAAATTCTTGTTGGTCAGTGGGATTCCACACAGCTCGGAACACAAGTACGACTCTTTCATCTTTGGGAGTGTTAGGGAACAGAATTCGGAATTGGGCATCTTGTGCCTTGAGTGGCAGAGGATAGTAGTTCGGGAAGTCATCATTCGAGACTAATGCTGGAGGAGGCACTCTTCCAACGCTGTCGCCAACGCTAGCAGCTTTACGGTGGGCTGGACCAGATTGCGTGTCTGGTGTGATTCCAGGAACCAAAGCAGCTGCAGGTATTTCGGGTAGAGAGTTGTCCTCTGCTGCCACTGTCATAGGAGATGGCTTAGTCGAGGCTGATGGACTATGTTGTGCTTTGAGCTCGCCTCGTTCGAGTCTGTTCACATAGCCCCAGTTTGTGGAACCCCAAAGATTGGCCATTATTCCACTAGGCATACCACCTTCAGACTTACCAAGCCCTACACCCCTTTCCCCACTAACAATCACAGCCGTCTTGCTCAGATTGGTTGGAGCCGGAGGATTAGCCAGTGTTGAAGGCGCGAGAGTACTTATAGAAATTTCACTACCCATGTTGATACGAGTGTCTGGAGTAGCGGGGACCTGAGGCGTTGCAGGACCTACAGGTAGAATATTATGACTTGCGGATATCAGACTTGCAATACCCCCTGCCGGCGCTGTAGGTGTACTGGAGAGTTGTGGTGAGGCTGTGGTTCGTCGATGCAAATCTAGTCTTTGGATGATCCTCGTTGCATGGTCTCGACTGCTGCTTTCGCCATCACGCTCAGTCAACCGGCGAGAGATGTCGAAGCTGGCAGCATGATTCACTAGGGGATTGCCGCTATCGACGGTCAGAGTGCCACTTCGATCCAACCCCTGGATGTCATCACTGAGCGAAGAGGCATGACCCTCTGTGACCTTAGCTGCAAATTCTGGGGCAACCGGAGGACTTATGGCAAATGCGGCATCAACATTGTGCGATGATATATTGTCAGTGCTTGCAGGGTCCTCTAGGGCCTTCCTCTTGGCGACATCGAAAGCATTAATCCACTCCATGAGTTCAATCTGCGTTTCGGCTTGGAGTAGTATCGACGTATCCTTCGTTTTCACCTCGAAGCAGAAACGACGTTCTTCCTGGACGGCGGGACGAATACTGCATAATAGAACACCGATCTTTTCTGACTCTTCGACAGCACCCGACTTGCCACCTTGTGACAACCATCCAAAGATGCCGTTTTTTACGAAATACCACCTTCTGACCCACATGGTTCTTGCCGGCTTACCAGTGGTTGTTCGTTGAAAGAGCCAGCTTTGTTTTTCACCGGAATCATTTGTAGCTTTCGGGGGCCCGCCGGGGGTCTGAAGATTTGCGGTCGACGCGGCCTGGGAGCCGAGATACGGAACGGTCGATATGGCATAGTCATCAAGCTCTCGAGATGGTTTGACAGCACCCTCCGCGCTACTTTCGATTTGTCTCCGAGCTAGAAATAGCTCTCTCTTGAATAATCGCTCGCCATTCTCCATCTCACGGCTCCATCCACGGACCCTTTCCATATCGCTCGTCCACTTCGAGAAAGCACCAACTGTTGAATCTCTCGAAGATTTCATCTCGCGCCACTGATCTGAAAATAGCCTTACTAAGAGCTTGTCGAGATTACCACGTACTTGCGGGGCGACTACACAGAAGTCCATTGACGCTTTCAAATACGCTTTTCGAGCTTCATGAAGCTGGAACGCATCTTCTCTTAACGAAGATGGCTCCTTTGTCTTAGCTTGGCTGGCATACCTCGCAATCACCAAGTCGAAATTCTTCTGGGCAGCGTCCAACGTCTTTCGACATTCCTTGAGTCCCTTGATCTCGCTCGACAGAAATGCGCGTATCGGTTCTACCACAGCAGTCTCAATCCGTTTCATGCCCCGGAGCGTGTACGACCAAAACTCTCTTGCTCCCTCGCCATATCGCTTGAGAGCGAGAACGGTGTAGTCATGATCGAGGACAGCTTCGGACACTTGCTGTGGTGGTGTTGCGTTTGACAGGAAGGTGTTGACAAGATTCTCAAGGGAAGATGCTTCTGACGAGAGTCTGCTGGCTGACTTCACATAGCTATCCAGCCATTTCTCAATGATCTCAACTTGTTCTCCAAAATGGACGGCGGTAGCGCGGAATGTTGGGCTGTCAAGAGCTGCTTCCTTGAGAACTACGGGACTGTTTACGATAATTTTGTCAGTGGACTGCTCATACGCATGGTTCATAGGAGAATGTTACATGAGGTTCAACGGTTGCTCCACGGGTGCTATAGCTGGTACGAGTGGCTGCTCTTCAGCCATTTAGAATTATCGCGGAATATACGAGGTAATCATTGGGTTAGTATATGAGAGCTAGAGGAGGCGCAAACAAGTGGTATCGAGAGATATTAGGCGAGTGCTTTGTTGTTGTCCGATCAAAGACAATATTCCCTAAACCTTCGTTCACAACGGCACCCCAATACAGTAAGCCAACGACGTACCTGGTGCCAGTGGTACCTACACAATAGTGGCCCGTGCGCACAGACCCGCCAAAAATTTGGCTGCACATTTCATCGAAAATCTTAGCATCCTCTCTGCTCGCTCTCTCAAGAAAAAGTCTTGAACCACACGAAGCAAGGCATACAGGCGGCTATATCTGGAATCTGGCCACCATGGGTAAACGAGATCACACAGAATTCGTTGCGGAAGACCGTACAGCGAAACGCGCTAGGATTCTTGACGATGATTCTTCTGCGGAGAGCGGCGACGAAGACCAAAATCCCAGCAATGGATTCAGCATTAACAAGGAGTATGCCGCTAGATTTGAACACAACAAAAAGCGCGAGGAGAAGCAGCGATGTAAGCGGACCTAGAACATTTGCGTATTTGTGCGCGCAAGACTGATCCGGGACAGTGGAAGAAAAATACGGCCCTGTGGAAGCTGACTCTGACGATGAATCGAGTTCAGAAGACGACGATGAGGGAGAACTGATCAATGAAAACGTTGACAATGATATTCTCGCAACTATTCAAGCTATAAAGGCAAAAGATCCCAAGATTTACGACACGAACGCGCACTTCTTTTCAGAAGAGATCGTCGTCCCGAAGCAGCCCAACGGAGGCAAAAAAGAGAAACCCATGCACCTCCAAGACTACCATCGTAAAAACCTGCTCGAGGGCAAGTTCGACCAAGACCCCGAGGAAGAAGATACGCCAAAAACGTACGCCCAAGAACAACAACAGTTGAAGGACGACATCGTCAAGCAAATGCATGCTGCTGGAGAGGAGGGCAACGAGGAATCAGAAGGCGACGAGGGCTTCCTCGTGCGAAAGTCCAAGCCCGAACCTACGATGTCGGCCCCGAAGAGGATAGATACAAAACTTGACGTCAAGGAGGCTGACAAAGACCCTGAAACCTTTCTTTCCAATTTCCTTGCTTCGAACGCTTGGAGGACGACTTCGCCTTCCCGTTTTCAGCCTTTCGATTCTGATGACGACGAAGAGCTAGAGCGTGCGGACAAGTTCGAAGAGGCTTACAACCGCCGATTCGAGGATCCCAAAAAATCCAACGTCACCCTACAGTCTCACTCTCGTGATATTATAGCCAAATATTCCGTGCGGCGCGAAGATCTCTCTGGTAGACAAAAAGCGAGGCAGGCTGAGCGTGCGAGGAAAGATGCGGAGAAGCTCGAAAGAGACGAGGAGAAGTCTCGATTGAAGAAACTGAAGGCAGATGAAATGGAACGCAAAGTAAGACAGATCCGGCAGTCTGCTGGTGCGCATGGGAAAGCCTTCGAAATAGAGCAATGGGCCGACGTGCTGGATGCCGACTTCGATGATAAGCAATGGGAGGAAGAAATGCAACGAAGGTTCGGCGATGAGTACTACGAAGCGGACGATCTCGACGGATCAGCCAATGAGCAGGAAACGAGCAGTAAGAAGAAAAAGAAGGCAAAGAAGCCGACGTGGGACGACGATATCGATATTAAGGATATTGTGCCAGACTTTACAGATGATGAACCGGTTGATGTAGCAGAGGAACTGGATGAAGAAGCAGGCAAGGCCGCTACCTCCAAAAAGAAGCACTCAAAGAAGGAGCGGATGAAGGAGAAGGAAGAGGCCAAAAGAAGTGCACGCCGCGATCGTCGTATTATTGAGAATTTGGTGGAGCAAAATTTCGATGCAAGAGCAACTTCTAGCAAAACCAATAAGCCAACCTCGTTCCGCTACCGGGAGACTTCACCAAAAAATTTCGGACTCACTGCCCGCGATATCCTCCTTGCGTCCGACGCCGACCTTAATCAATTTGCCGGACTGAAAAAACTACACGCTTTTCGCGACACGGAAAAGAAACAAAAAGACAAGAAGTATCTCAGCAAAAAGGCGCGTCTGCGGCAGTGGCGCAAAGACACATTTGGCACTGAGGACGAGCCATCTGGTGGTTTTGAGCAGCTATTTAACAAAAATTCAGGCTCAAGCAATAGTGTGCCTGAGAAGACTAAAGTGAAGAAGCTTGACGGGGAAGATACGGCTGGAGTAGATGGGAAGAAGAAAAAGAAGCGATCGAGGAAGTCGAAAACCGCTACCGCTGAGACTGAAGCATGACACTGTACTTAAGCATTCCAGTAACAGAGACGAGAAAAATTCGATGGTGTAGAGTCTAACGGATGAACCGCTCACGCTACGTCGCCGCTCCGAAGAGAACAAAAATTTATTTACGTCTTACATCGACACCTACAGACGTCTGACCGCTAAATCAGCATGAACTCATTCGTGAAAGGCTTAAATCTCGGTTACTTCAGTCTTTTCACACGAACGCTTGCCATTTCATATTCGATATCATTCACCGCCAATCATGCCATTCTGTCATCCCACTGTCATCAAGTCGAGCAGCTGACAAGCACGCGCATATCAGAATGTACAAGGCCCCTAAGATGTTGCTTCACATCGCATGCTGAGCAGCAGACAAGACTCCTTAAGTCTTCTTGATGCGGCTTCATACAGCTCACTGAGCAGCAGACTATTCTTTCTATGATTTGCGAACAGCACTTAAACGTCGTGATATCACGTCGTGACCTATTCTATCCTTCACGAAAGCAGTCACCATTCCACGGCTTCCACACAGCCACTTTCAATGACAACGCATCTAGGCCATATCATATCTCCAGGTCTAGGCACTATGACATACCTAACCACCTCCATCATCACACAAACTGCGGAAGAAAGTTGCCAACATGGGCCTCTTCAGCTCGTCAAAGCCCAAAGATGAGAAGCTCTCAGTCATATCATACCCTGTTCTTATAAATTCGTCCCTTGGGTTTGGAATCGAGCCTGAAGCCCTCGTTCCTCAACTAAGTACCCAACAGAGACGGCTTGACGCATTCAAACAGCTTTCGACGGAGACACCGTTTCCTGTCTTATCGTGGAGACCGCCTCCTCCACCCCCCCTATCACGACAAGCAGATGCTCACCCGCCGCGCTCAACAATCCCACCTCCTCGTCCACCACGCCCACCACCCCATCTCTGCCCTCCCATTCCAGTGACACACCTACACGACAAACCCCTTCCAGCAACCCCCCTCCCCCCACTAACCCGTACTGAAATCACCCAACGCTGGGCCTCCGCCCTCACACGCGCACGCAACGGAGCCATCCCAAGCGCGCGACAAGCCTTCCTATCCCTACTCACACGCGCCCACGGCAGCGACCACTACATGATGCGGGCGCAGCTCTGGGCCAACATCGGGCTTCTGTACATGCGGACAGGAGAGCACGGCAGCGCGCGCACAGCGTTTGCGCGCGGATGGCTGCTCAATCGGGCGGATCCACTGTGTCAATTCTTGTTGGGGACGGTGGAGTATGCGCTTGGAGAGTATGGGGCTGCGAGGCAGAGTTTTGTGGAGTGTGGGGCTTGGATGAGGAGAATGCAGAGGGAGTGGGGGCCTAGAAGAGGGAACGAGTGTGTGGAGTGGGATTATTGGGGGGAGAGGTTCGATTTTGTGCTTAGGGAGGTGGATGTACGGTGGAATGCGGCACGGTGTGAGGATGCGTGGAGTGGGATGGAGAAGGGAATGGAACTTGGGGAGGTGAGGATCAGGGGTGTACCTGAGGGGAGGTTGTTTGGGGTGCCGGATTTTGGTGGCGACGAAGACGAGACTAAGAGTATGGGGGAGAATGAGCATCTTGAAGACGACGTGAAGAGTATGGAGAAAAATGAGCATCTTGAAGACGAGGTAAAGAGTATTGGGGAAAATGAGCATCTTGAAGACGAGGTTGAAGATGATAGTAGCGCTGACTGCCGCAGCGTTGAGACGGTGAGACCTGAGAAGATTAATGAGCCCGAAGAGGAAGAATTGTGTCGTGTTTGGACTGAGAAGGCGTTCCGCGCATCAAGTATTTATTCTAGACCTACGACATATGGGGAAATGAACTGGCCAAACATGATGCGGCCTCCAATGTCATCAACACCACCACCAGTGCCTCCGATGCCATCTAGGTCACCCCCAGAACGGCCAGATTCACCTCTGGTTTACCTCCAGCCGATGGTGTACGATGGTACCACCACACTAGCAGAGAAACAAGGACATGAAATGTTGAAGCCAGCAGCAGACGGGGATGCGGAAGTTGGCGAAGAAGATGAAGAAGAAGAAGAAGACGAAGAAGAATCTCCCACGTGGGACATTTTGAAGCTGATCGAAGAGGAAATAAGAGATCAGGCTACATTAAAGTTAAATCCTGGTCCCAAGATGCGTCCTGTTCTGGTGCATGCAGAATCCTATTTGTCGAACAGGACAACGACAAAGAGCGTTGTTCCATCGGAAATGTTCTTCGACCCCAGCACGCTTGCACGAAAGTTCTCGAACACCTCAACAATCACAATTTTCCCATCAGGTGCGCAGAGTGGAGAGCAACCCGCGGCATCAATACCACCCCCATTGCCTGCAGTAGTCGGCCATCGATACGAATGGATGGAAACTCCATTGCCAGTTCCAGAGAGCTCGGACACCCCAATAAATCGGACGATCAAGATGCCCTTCTTTCGCAGGGTCCTAGCACAGTCACCAACAAAGCCAGATGGGAGCTCGATCATGACTTTTCCGATGCGATCTCGGAGTAAGCTGAAGAAGGTCGAACGTTGCAACTCGGCGCGTTCTCAGCCTGAAAAGAGCTCTCTTCGGCATGCTCCATCCAAACTTCCGACTTTTTTCACCTACAAAACTATCAAGGATGCAGCAAGTGGTGACTTAGGTGGATCTTGAGCGAACATTTCACTATGAGATAGAATCGTTCCTCGTCATCCAAGCCATCATCTCATACGCTACCAAACCAGCATCTGCGCCATTGCGGACATTGACTCTCGACCATCGCTGCTCTTGCTGAGCCTGAGAAAAGATGGCTTCGTAGTCTTTCCAGTCCACGACTGGACCTAGCCACATGACCAGCTTCACGATGCCGTTGCTGCGATGCTCGAGATATTGCTGGATGAGTTTTGGTTCTCTCGGGTACACGAACATCCAAGCTCCGGCTTCGAGCGCCCTATTCGACAAGTCCCATGTCCCAGAGACAGTGTTTAAAGCATCTGTGAAAAGGTACTGTACCAGGTTTGACGCCGAACGCACTTCTACGCCTTCGACGTTCAGTTCCGGATGGTGTTTCTGCAGAAGAGCTTCGAGCAGTCCTGTGCCGGAGCCAATCGACAGAAGGGTGGTCGGAAGTAATACGAGCGAATAGACTTGATCAAGGAGGATCTGCGAAATACTCAGGCAGCAATCTGAATATTTCTGAGGTACATCAGAAATGTCGGGGAGCTTGGGCGCCATTAGAGTGTTTAGTGTTTCTATCAAATGTGACAGGCTAAGCCTCCTCCCGTGGATAGACGTAGTCGCTATTGGTAACAACATCGGCAGTCAATTAGTCAGCCATAATCAAAGCTTGGTGTGTGTGTGAGACGATAGAACAAAGCAGAAGTGTATGATTGAAAGTGTTGTCGTCGTCACTATAATTGTTTCATCGCCAAGACACAGTGGGGCCGGATCAATTTTCGCGCTATTCCCAAAGCGGGGCGGCAGGCAGGTCGTCATGGGATCTTCTCCGGATCTGTTGCAACTTCCCTGCTTTCCTCTCGCTCAACTCTTCTTTCTCCTCCATTCAGGCTTCAAAACGTGGTGACGGCAATTCGACGTCCAGCTGTACTCGTAGAAACCCGAGATTTGGCTGCGTGATGAGGACATCTCGACCACAACAGTAGTCGTCACGATCACGACCTCACACTTACTTCGCTACGCGTCGCGTCATTGGCCTGCCAAGCACCAATCGACTCTCTCTCCAATGGCTCGCTTTGGGAATCCCTTTTCTTTTACGCCTGTCCCGGTGACCTTTTTCACTTCGATCATATACATTGGATTGTTCGCTGTCCTCATTGTGAATCACTATATACTGCCTTCGACTCCATCCAAGTACCCGGAAGGAGTCGATCTCACAGCAGCCTGGAATGACCTTCAAAACTTGACTTCATACTATCACCCATATAACAGCAAAGCGAACGACGATGCAAGAACTTTCCTCCTGGATCGGATCTCTGAGATTCTCACGACCAACAAGGCAAGCTTCGCTGTCGAGAGAGACAGGATCGATGGTGTCACTTCTACGAAGAGAACCGATTTGAGCTCTGTCATAGTGATTGACGATCTTGGATCGAACGTTACCTCTTCGAGAGATAGCTTGAGCGTTTACTTTGAAGGAAGTAACATCATAGTGTCGATCAAGGGCACTGATGATGAAGGCCACTGTTATCAGGACAATGCCTCAAGCGATGCTAAGAAAGTTAAAGGAGGCGTCCTCGTGAACGCTCATTTTGACTCTGTCTCAACCGGATTTGGAGCCACTGATGATGGTGTCGGGATTGTCACCATTCTCCAGCTACTCTCTTATTTCACTACACCAGGCAACGAGCCAACCAGATGCCTAGTTCTCTTACTAAACAACGGGGAGGAAGACTACCTCAATGGAGCACGGGCTTTCATGCGGCATCCTGTTTCGCAAACGCCGCATACATTTTTGAACCTCGAAGGAGCCGGAGCGGGAGGTAAGGCTATCCTGTTCCGTGCTACAGATACTGAAGTTGCGAGATTCTACAAGAAAGCCAAGAACCCTTTTGGTACCGTCGTCACGGCAGACGGTTTTGAACAAGGCGCTATCCGCAGTCAGACTGATTATGTCGTGTTCAATGGCGATCTCGGCCTCAGAGGCCTTGATGTTGCCTTCTTCGAGCCAAGAGCAAAGTATCATACGATGCAGGACTCAACGATTGAGACGTCCAAGCAGTCAGTCTGGAACATGCTTTCGGCCTCACTCGGCACTGTGAAAGCAATGGTCTCAGATACCAGCGACCATTTTAGCGGGCAGCCAGAAGATGGAAAAGTCAAAGCAGGCGACGGAAGCAGGGTTGTCTACTTCGATCTCTTCACTCAAGTACTTGCAGTCTTTGAATTGCATACCCTCTTTGCTTGGTCTGTCACGCTTCTTGTGGTTACACCGATCATGTTCATCGTTCTCACAATCTTCTTGTCACGGGCTGACAAAATGTATCTGTGGGCTCGCCGCGGATGGGTACACTCCTCGAACGATGATCACTTCATCTCTTTCAATGGAATTCGAGGTTTTTTCCGATATCCGATGACGATTGCTATAGCTACCGCAGCTACCATAGCCCTTGCATACCTATATGCCAAGGTAAACCCACTGATCGCATACAGCAGCGAGTACTCAGTATGGGCCTCCATGATTGCGGCCTGGTTCTTCGTCGCATGGATGGGTCTTCGAGCCTCTGATGAGATGCGGCCCACGGCATTGCAGCGCATATACGCATTGCTATGGATCTACATTGCATCCTTTGCGCTGTTAGTCCTTGCCACTATCAGCGAGAACAATTTCCATCTTGCAGGAGGTTACTTCCTCGTCATATACTTTGCAAGCGTCTCTATCGCGCTGCTACTGTCCTTCCTCGAGATGTTTGCTCTGCCAAAGAAGGCAGACTACGTAGCACTAATGGATGGTAATGGCCCGGATAGTCGACCTCCGACCTCAGGTACCAACCATAGATCCAATCATGGGTCCACAGAACATGACGACGACGCTACTGAGACGACATCATTGCTACAAAATGATCGTCAATCCTTTGCACGTTATGGCTCTCGCCGTGCTTCTCAGGACGTTTCAGAGACCACAAGTGACGATCGACCGCCCGCTGAAATGCGTGGAGCCTATGGTGAAGAGCAGCCTTGGAGCTGCAAACTCCCAAGCTCTGTCTGGCTCCTTCAATTTCTCCTCCTCGGGCCTATAAATATCGTCCTTATTGGACAGATAGCCTTGACCATCACCGCGGGTCTGCACCAGACTGGAGCAGACGGCAGCTCCATTCTAGCCGTCTACCTCTTCATTGCCATCCTCACCGTCCTCCTACTGATCCCAATCACACCCTTCCTACACCGCTTCCATTACCACTTCCCTACATTCCTCCTGTTGATCCTGATTGGCACGTTAGCATATAATCTCGTTGCGTTTCCGTTCTCGCCAAACAATCGCCTCAAACTTTTCTTCCTCCAGCGCGTTGACTGCGACACCGGCGCTACATCAGTTTCACTGACCGGCGCACAACCCTTCGTCGAAGCAGCAATCTCTAACCTCCCCAGTGCGAGCGGACATGACATAAACTGCACATCGTCTGATGCATACACCAGCTCGCGCAACGGTCTGACGAGTTGTATTTGGCCCGGTCTACCTGCACACCCGGTCACACTCCCATCCAATATCTCAGCCATCCACAGTCGCCGGAGCTATGAGTCCAAATGGTTCAACTTCGACATCGAAACCACAGGCGGCAAGAATACTGCTACCTTTTACATCTCAGCTCTTGACACGAAGAACTGCCGCATTTACTTCGACACGCCCGTCAAATCACTGCATATCGCCAACGCAGCATCTGACTCGCGCTTTTCTCCCGTGGGCGAGAATGGCGCACGCGAAGTCAGATTGTGGAGTCGAACTTTCCACGCTCAGTGGAACGTGAGCGTGGCATGGGATACTGTGTCCAGCACGACAGACATGACAGGTAATGGCGAGCATGCAGTAATGACGTATGACGGCCTGGTAAAACAATCGTCGCAGTCCAAAAACACTGGACTTTCAGGCCACGTTGTCTGTCTATACGCCGATGCAAACGCCCAAGGCGCAATCCCCGCACTGGAGGAAATATGGCGCTTCCTACCGAACTGGGCGATTGTGACAAAAGCCGGTGATGGGCTCGTGGAGGGATGGAAGAAATTTGAGATTTGAGCACTGCGAAGACGGTCCGCCCAAGTCCCTATCTGCAATATATGCTATACTGTATGGCGATATCTTCCGATGTTTCGGTATGACGAGAATGAGTAATCTGTGGCGTTGCAGGCGAGCAGGCCGCGTCGCAACCAACGCATATCAAGGACGCTGCACCGTCGTCGTGATTTATTGGGAATGTCATCATATCATACTTAGAGGGTTAATTGTTGTCATAATTCTGCATCCACGGCGTAGCATAGACACGGTCGTATAGCAACCAATCGGAAATTGCCCACATACTCAATTGCAATTCAGTTCCAACTCGCGATGCAACACAAATACAACAGCATCTAGTTGCAATACCACACACATGGTCACATCATGATGAAAGACACATTACGGCAAAAGATGACGATGAGAAGAGACATCATGAACGAGATGAAGATGCATTCATTGAGTCAAACCAAGAACTCGTGATAACAAAGGAAAAAAAATTCAACTTGTGCAACTTCAAGACCACATTGTTCCCGCCCAAGCCGAAGGAACTTTGCAACAACAAAACAAACAAGAGAGAAACCAACAAATCATCCCAATTCCATTCTTCTCTGAAAAGCCAGAGCAACACTCATTCAACAACAACAGTTTTTCCCATCCATCAAAACAAAAATCAAAAACCCGGATTGAACACCCGCCCATCTTTCTCTGAGAGGGAGGAGAGAGAAAAGATAGACGTGTTCCGCCCACCCCCCAAAGTCATTTTCCCCCAAAAGATACCGTACCATCCTCTCACTGGTCCTGGTCCTGGTCATGGTCCTCGTCCTCCTTGTCCTGTATGTCTCTGTACTCTCCTCGTATCGAAGTACGAGTTGTCGTTTCTCACTCTCGTTCTGTTCTGGGGATTTGCGAAAGATGAAGGTGTGGAGAAATATGATCAGAACGGAGAGGGCTTGAACGAGTGTTTTGCCAGACACTTGAACGTGAGCCTTGAGAGTGAGAAAGGAGAGGGAGGCTTGAACAAGTGCTTGCCAGACACTGAACTTGAGCCTTGAGAGGGTGCGGCTTGAACTAGTGCTTGCCAGACACTGAACTTGAGCCTTGGGAGTGAGGACAGGACGGATAGGCTTGAACGAGTGCTTGCCGGACACTGAACTTGAGCCATACCGAAATGAGGACGGAGGGGCTTGAACAAGTGCTTGCCAGACACTGAACCTGAGCCTTGGATTGGGCTTGAACGAGTGTTTGCCAGACACTGAACTTGAGCCTTGAGAGGGTGAGG